TAAGACCCCGTCTAAAAGGAGAAAAAAAAGCAGTGTCCGGAACTAAGAGAAAGCCATTCCTTAGAATCATGAATAGTAACAGCCAATAGTTACTGAAGGTTAACCATATGCTGAATACTGTGCTGACTGCTTTATATTTACTCTTGCAAAACTACTTGTGGATGTATATTACCAAAGTTCAGAGAAGTTAAGACACTTTCCCCAGGTCAAACAACTAGTAGGTGTCAGAATCAAGGTCCAAACCCTATTCAGCCTCTAAACTGAAAAGGCGTGTGTTCCTACCTTGTAGGGAAGAGGATCGCTGGAAGTTATTTTACTGATCAGCACTTCATTTCCAGGAGGACAGCCAGGGAAGGGGATAATTTGCTGGACCTTGAGGGAGAGCAGGCCGACTTCCTTAGGTCCATGGGACCCGATTGCCCTCTAGCGTTAGAGGAATCCTGGGGCCAGATGGAATAAACAACGAGTTGTTTTTCTTAGGTTATGGTGAATCCTCCTGCCTTCAGCATGGGATCACATCTGTCTAGTTTCCTGTTTTCCCATTGGCCAAAGAGTTTCTCCTAGGGATTAGGGTAAAATAGGCAGTAAAGGTGGGAGTTATGAATAAGAATTACCTGAGTTTAGAGCAGCAATTCTCAGACAGAATAATGTTAAACCACCAGGTGAAGGGAATGTCTCTTATCCCCGGTACCTGGCACATAGTGGGTGCTCACTGAATCCTGAACAAGGCTTTAAAAATCTTATTCTAATAGCAGAGTTCTGCAATATATCAGAGATCTGCAAACTTAAATGAGGTGAACTTAAGTGTGGTTATGAAGTTATTCATGGATTTTTGCCAGAAGTGCTAGTGGAAAAGATACTGTAACATTTAACACATTGTCTACTGCAAGACTTTACAGGGCACTTTCACAACGAAGAGGGAACAATGACACTCATCAATGGCTTAGAAATAAGTTGGAGTCAGTGATGACATGGTCATCTTAGACTGCCAGCCTCATTCCAGTGTCCCTAATGGTCCATGGATCTCAGAGAAAGCCCCCTCACCTCTATAGCTCTGCCCAAGTAGACTGTTTCAATAGCTACTCAGAGAACATCTGTGGGCACTGTGCCTTGCGGGTCTCCGTGGTGAATACAAAGACAGATATACCAGATGCGGCTAATTGTGGCCAACACAGATGGTAATTCTTCCATGAGCTAGGTGTCCAGTCCATTACCTGATTATTTACTGATGGGAATCTTCAAGGTAAGTATTAGCTGTCTACTTTTTTCCAAATAAGAAAATTGAGGCTCATTGCAGCAAACACAATCCTGCAAGTTCCTACAATTTATAGATGGCAGTGCAAGTCATATGACTCCCAAATGCGTACTCTTTCCACTATGCCACTCTGGCCAATGCTTTGAAATAATAGGACTCCTTTTCCAAAATGCAGGTATCTCCAAGACAATTACTCCTGTTTTTGTCTGCTCGGGCTGCCGTAACAAAATATCATAGACTAGGAGGATCAAACAACATGCATTTATTTCTCAGTCTGGAGATTGGGAAGTCCAAGATTAAGGTCCTGGCCAGTTCTGGTCCTGGTGAGGGCTCTGCTTCCTAGCTTGCTTCTCACTGTGTCTTCACATGAGGGGCAGGAGGTCAAGCTCTCTAGAGTCTCTTATTTTACTTTTTACTCAACAGTTTGTTTAGAGACACGGTGACTCCCACGAAAGCACCAATCCCACCATGAGGGCCCCACCACATGACCTCATCTAACCCAAATGTCTCCAAACTCCATCACATTGAGGGGTGGGGTTTCAACGAAGGAATCTGGGAAGGGGGCATTCAGTCCGTAACAATCCCCAGCAAGCCATCAGTCTAAAAACAGATGGCTTATACTTTGTTTCTTATAGTTAGCTTTCTCTAGCCTAATTTCCAATTGACCCTTAGTCTGCAGCCTCTGCCTAGGGCAAGTCCACAACAATTTTTTTTTTTTTTTTGAGACAGAGTTTTGCTTTTGTCGCCCAGGCTGGAGTGCAATGGCACGATCTCAGCTCACTGCAACCTCCATCTCTCAGGTTCAAGCAATTCTCCTGCCTCAGCCTCTCAAAGTAGCTGTGATTACAGGTGCCCGGCACCACTCCCGGCTAATTTTTGTATTTTTAGTAGAGACAAGATTTCCCCACGTTGGCCAGGCTGGTCTCAAATTCCTGACCTCAGGTGATCCACCCACCTCAGCCTCCCAAAGCACTGGGATTACAGGCATGAGACACTGCACCAGCATGCAATTCATGCTTTCCTCTCCAAAACTGTCCGTGAATTTTGTCTTTTTCCATCTCTTATGGAGCACTTCAGCTCTCCCATGTAAACCTGCATTACAAAACTCATCAACGAGCTCAAGGGAACAAAAGAGCTTTCCAAGAAAATCTACTCTTTGGACAGTCACTAGGGGTAACTGTAGCTAACATTGCTACCCACTAATGTAGTAGCTTACCGGTATTTATCTTCCCCTCTTCCTTACAAAGAGGATCCTGATTTTTGTTTGCGCAGGAATGTGCCCAGCTATAAAGCTCTATTTCCCAGCCTCTCTTGCAGCTACAGTTGCTCATGTGGCCACAAGAAACAGTTCCTTCCGATGAGATGTAAGGGAAGTCACCAACTGGGGCTTTCAGGAAAGCTCTTTAAATGCAGGTGTGGTGGGCAAACTCAGCTGTGCATGCCTCTTCCCCCTGCCCTTCTTCCTGACTGGGGCATAGATGGAACACAGGTGTGGAGATGGAACAGCTATCACGGTGCAAGGGAAGCTGCAGAGTTAAGAAGGTCAGGGCTGAAAGCTGGAAAGAGTCTGGGTTCCTAATAGCATCACAGAGCTGCCTTGTTAGTCTTGGGCTACTTCTGGACTTCTCATTATAGGAGAAAAACAAAACTCTCAAGTTACTTGCAGTAGTGGTAATGCTGGGATAAATTATATAAGGGTCTTACTACAAATTCCAATTCCTTGGCCTACCCTCAGAAATTTTGGCTTAGCAGGTCTGGGTGGGAGAATCTATAGTTTTAGCTAGCCCCTGTGGTCATTCTGCTACAATGATCCTTGAACCACTGTGTGAAGTAGTCTGAGGCTCACAAATCCAGCAAGGAGCAGAGGGGTGTGTGTGTGTGGAGAAGAGCATGTCAGTGATCTTGAGTTTAGCTTTCAATGGCTACCAAAAACTTGGCCAGGTGTGGATGTCAGATAGGAAAAACACCTTGTTTGGCTAATTTGCAATTTAGTGATGAAGAGCCTCCCACACCCTCATCTAACTAGAAAGCTGATCCAAGCTCCCATTTGTGAGTGTGGAAACAGGCAAAAATGTTTAAGTAGTTACCCATTGTCACAATGCCAGAAAGTGGCAGAGCTCAAAAAAATTCTAGAGTCCCAGTTCAGTGCTCCCTCCATGACACTGGGCTGCAGATAGTACCATGAACCTTTAAAGTGTCTGCTCACCTCTCCCTCCCATTTCCTTTCTGTGAAGCAGTGCAGTAGGACACTGTGGCTGCCACTGTGGCCCCCATCCCAGCCCTTTTTTGTTCTCTAGCAGCCATACCGTTTAAGTGAATGAATCTAGCTCTCAGCTCCATGAATCAATTAGGATAACCCTCTTCCTCCATGCAAATTTCCTCCTTTCTTACCAGTAGAACACTTATTTTCTTGGAGCTGCAATGTGCCCAAATAAAAAAGCTACACCTCCCAGATCCCTTTTAGAGAGAGGAGGCCATGAGCTGGTTCTGGTCAAGCCACTGGGTGGCTGGGGGTTCTTCCTGGAATGTCACTTATAAGGAGCAGCTGGCAGACACTCCTCTGCCTATGGTTCTTCCTTCTTCCTGCTGGCTGGAATGCAGTCCTGATGGTTGGAATGCCACTACCACATGGACAAGAGCCTTGCCCTAGGACAGAAGAGCACAAATTAAAAGCAGCCCCAGGGCCTGATGCCATCGTGGAGGCATTACCTCAGCCTTGAAGCTGCCTACCTCCAGAGCTCTTTTTACATGAGAGAAAAAGGAACAACCATGTTTAAGCCCTAATTCTTTGAACTTTCTGTGGCATGCAGTTCAACTTAATGTGTGCAGTTATAGCAATGATTGCTGCAGGCCAGTTTAATGAGTGGAGCTTGGGGTTTCTGTCTGATGATAGTAGTGGTCTTTCTCAGGGCCCAGATGCAGTCCTGCCTTCTCAGTGGTCTTCACAAAGGGCCCCAGCTCTCGTGGGTTACCTTCTATTTAAGATTCCTGGGCATTTGTTGTCTGGTTGGGAGCTCACTGTGGTATTTGTGACACAGTTTCAGGCAGGACTTTTTTTATAGCCTTTTCAGGCAAGCTATGCCAGAACTCCCCATCCAGAGGGCAGGGCAGTCGGGGTGACTTGCCAGACCATGTAAGGGTCTGGATGAGAGGCAGGCTTTGCAGCCGGCCTGGAAACATGTTCCACATGACACCTTCATTCTTGTGCTGGTAAAACATCCTCAGAGTAAAAGGAGCAGCATGTGAGTGAGTGCTTATTTCTTTAGGAGGCCCCCATGAGACAAGAAATCTTTCAACTGCAGACTGTCAGGCTCCAGGGGCCTTAGGGACAGGAGCTAGATGGAGGGAGAGTGAGGAGGGCCCAAGCTGTCAGGTGATCCTGAGGCAACAGGACTGGCAGGGAGGAGCTGGGGGGATGCAGTGAACTAAGGATGTCAGCTGGGGCGATGTGCCACCGTGGTAGCTTGCTCAGGTCAAACCCCACCAACTTCAGATCTCACATTTTTAGTCTTCAAGCTCTTGAAGCTTAACCTTCTGTTTACCTTTTCTCTCTCCCAGCTGGAGTCCCTCTGTGAGATTTGCCTGTGCTGCTTCCACCAAAAACACTGTTCAGGCTGATGTCCTTTCTCCCCAGACTGCTTCCAGAGAAGAGACCATGCCTGCAAGCAGGCGCACGAGGGTCACAAGAAAGGAAAAGGAAGGGGTTAAGACAAATAAGGGAGAAAACTTTAATCAGGCTGCAGGCTTTTCATTAAAAAAGTTTATTTCTCAAAATAGGGGGAAGAATCCAAAGTATTAAAATAATCCTCTAATGTTTGTTTTGAAGGAAAAGGATAGGATGACAAATAATTCATACAAAAATTTGAAGCATCACTGCCATAGATATTCCTCCGGCTCAGTGGGGAACATCCTGAAACTCGCAACTCCTGTCTGCAGCTCGGGTTCCAGCTGCATCACGGGGAACACAGCATCTCTTGGATGCGGGAAGCTGCAAGCATCTGGAATGCTTATTTATTTACCCCGCAAATAAATACAAAAGATCAATCTTCACAGTGGAAATGATTCCATCTATTTTTGTGACTTTCTGATGAGAATGCTAAAAAGAAGAGTTGCTCCTCTTCTAAAATTCCAAATCTTTCCTTTTTGAAAATGACTATGTATGAAAGAAATAAAATGTGAAAAGATTTGTTAAGGATGACTGGCTCTAGTACCGACTAAATGCCAAGGGAGACTGTGACTCACTGAGGTGACACAAAGCAGCCATGGTTTTTCCTCACCTTTTATATGGGGAAAATGCACCCTTCCATCCTTGAAGAGAATTGGACCTGGCAAAGTCCCTATTTAGCTTTCAATGGCTACCAAAAACTTGGCCAGTTGTGGATGTCAGATAGGAAAAACACCTTGTTTGGCTAATTTGCAATTTAGTGATGAAGAGCCTCCCACACCCTCATCTAACTAGAAAGCTGATCCAAGCTCCCATTTGTGAGTGTGGAAACTGAGGCAAAAATGTTTAAGTAGTTACCCATTGTCACAATGCCAGAAAGTGGCAGATTTCTTACTGAAAAAAAAAAAAGGGTGAGCTGGGAGCTGGACTGTGCACATCAGCCAAGACTGATATTGCCAAACTGAGCCCAGAGGCATCCATGTACATTTTCCAACAGGCAGACCCTATCAGGAATTGGGAGACAGGAGCGGGCTCTCTCCTGAAATGAGACAAGTTTAACTGTGAAGACCTTTCGGAGCATTCCCGGGTTTTCCTGGCTCTTTTCAGTTGGTGTTTCTCTGAGGAACAGGGAGGTTCTCATGAAGATATTTTAAACTTCCATGCTCTGAGAAATCTGAGACCACGTGGTCCTTCCCTCGCAGCAGCCACTTAGTAGTAAGCAGTCCCTCAAGTCCTACTGGTCCCCGGGCGTGGATTCTTGATGTACTGATTCCCACTTCAGCTCCTGTGAAAAAGTATGAATAAAGACGTGGCTTTTCCCAGCCTCTTGGTTCCTGTCCATGCCCCAGACCCACACTACTTCTTTCCCCTTACTTGGTACCCTGTCTTCCTGCTAACTCCTCACCCGTCCTCCCCAGGACAGCTGAATCACCCTGTGCCCATAAGCATGCTCTCTGGTTACTACAAATCATGATGCCCCCTCTTCTGTATTTTAACCCCAGCGCATTTTGACAATGCTATTAATATAAGTGCTGTCTCTGATATCAGTTTAGCATCTGAATTGCATACCACATTTTGACATCTGGGCATGTTTTGAGGGGTACAACAATGTTTACCATGATGGTTTCATCTCCTCAAATACTCTTTAAATCTTAGAAAGAAAGGGACATGTTCTTAGTATCCCCTAGAAGTCTTAGACATAGGCACTCATTAGACAGTTACTGAATACATCAAAGGGTTACTGTTCCTTCCCCTTCCTCTTGCTGCCAGCTCAGACCTAGGGGACATCAGGGGTTTTCCTGAGCCTGGCATCGTGTTCTGCTCTGTATACAGTGGAGGCAGGGTTCTCTCGTTCGTCACGGAGCATGTAGTATGTACTAGGCACAGTGTTAAGCCCTGGGGATAAAGAGAATAACAGATACAAGGTCCTGTTTTTGTGGAGCTGATATTATAGCAGGCAAGGCAGCCAAAGGACAGGTGAGTAAATAATCTCCTGTGGTGCTCAAGTGCAGTAATGGGTGCTATAACAGAGACTGTGTGGTGGAGTTGGGGACACGCTGGGTAGGGTGGTCAGGGAAAGCCTCCCTAAGGAAGTGCCTTTTGCTTGAGACCTAAACAGTGAGAAGGAGCTGGCTGGGGAAAACAAGACAGAGGTGTTGCAGGCAGAGAGAAGAGCAAGCAGGAGAGTCAGGGGATGTGCTCTGGGTAGTGGTTGGTAAGGAGAGTGAAACCATCAGGATTCAAATCCTGGTTCAATGGCATAGAGACCAGATCACTTTGGACACGCTACCTAACTTCATGTCTCATGCTTCAGTCTTTTCATCTGGAAAACAAGAATTCATTTTGTAGAATGAAGTGACAGCATGCTTGCAACACATTTAGCACAGTGCTGGGAATGCAGTAAATGCTCAATAAAATCTGTTACTGTCATTAATGGATTTCACAAGGAATTTAACTCAACCAGCTTTCGCTCGGAGCTGGTGTTGGAAGGACAGTGAAATGGTCTTTTCTTCGTCCCTCATCCTGGATTTTCATTTGAACGCTGGGTACCCCAACCCTTAAAAATATGTTGCCATTTCTTTTTCAAGTACAAAGATGGAGTACAAAGATCAGTGCAAGTGACATGATAATTACATCAAAATCCCAAGATAATAGAAATGGGGAACTAAAAATAAAGAGCACAATGACTAAGAATAACTGAGTTAAATTCCCTTTCATAATCTTTAACAATTTGGTGAGAACTATTTCTCCAGGCAGATTATCTACTCAGAAAGTTCAGAGGGATTACGATGTGTGTTTTTCTGTCTTGTTTCATTTTGTTTTAGAGATAGGCCTCACTCTCTCCCAGGTTGGAGTACAGTGGCACCATCTTAGCTCACTGCAACCTCGAACTCCTGGGCTCAAGGGATCCTCTTGCCTCAGCCTCCTGAGTAACTGGGACTACAGGCTCACACCACCACACCTGGATAATTTTTCATCTCTGTAGGGAGGAGGTCTCACTGCATTGCCCAGGCTGGTCTCGAACACCCCGACTCATGAGATCCTCCTGCCTCCGCCTCTCAAAGTACTGGGATTACGGGCATGAGCCACTGCATGTGATCTAAAATGTTCTGAGTGGTTGAAATAATTCTCAAATATTCAGAAAATGTGTCACAAACATCTTCTTAGAGTTTTATATAATGGTATGCCTGAAAACCAGAGACTGTCCAAATAACCCCAACATTACAGAGGGCTGGAGATTTTATACCTAATGGAAGGGAAGAGAAAAGCATCCTTCTGATGCTTTTTATTTCAAAGTCTGCTGTAGAAGGGAACCTTGCACTTCTGGCTGGTCTGTTGGTTTTGATGCTGGTACTTAGTCCCAGGGCACCTTCTTTGGTCCTACTCTTGTGAGGTTTCCTACCTCTGAAGGCAACCTGGTGGTGACACTTTGAAGAAATAAGTCTGTAAAAAAATGTTTTTGAGGGACGCAGCACGTACCTCTGTAGCAGCCTGTGCACAAAGGCAGGCTGTGGTCTGCCCATGCTGTAGTGGGAGAACCCAGGCTTTGGACACACAAGTTTGGGTCTGAATGCCAGCTGTGGAACTTTTGACAAGTTACTACACTTCTCTGAATCTCATTCTCTCTCTATGAAAAATGAAATACAAGTAACTGCCTTATTAGCATGTGAAATGCTTAGAAAACAGGCCTTCCACCACCTCATCGGAGGTTTCATTAATTATTCTCTCTGATAATCCTACAGCTTTAATATCTGATGTCACAGTACTCTTTTAGAATCATATAAACCAGCATAGCAGTAAAGAAGGTGCTTTTTGGCCTTGGTTGCTTTGACCCTAAACATGTGTCTCTTCCCTTCCAACATTTGGCTGGAAAGGAAGGCTCCAGTTAGCTTATAAATGTGGCATGGTCCCAGTGAGAACTGGAAAGAATTGTTTTGAAAACAAAAATGCACTCCATGGATTAAAAGGAAGTTAGGTCACATGATCATTCATGTTCAGGGGCCTTACTTTACTTTGGTAAGGAAGCCTGTTGATTGGACACGTGTGTTTGCCAAGCACCAGAGTGAACTGGATGAGACGGGAGGAAAGCTCTCCTTTAGTCAGGACTAAATGCCCCCAGACCTAATTTGAAGACACCTCAGTCATTAAAATGAGGATGGCCTTGAAATTCCTCATCAAAATGAGTTACTGTGTGTACTTCATGCAACACTTTTGTATGGCAGGAAGCACCCAACAGTGCTTCACAGGGAACTTCTTTCTTCCCAACCAGAGTCTTTCTTACCCAGTCCAAAGCGGTAACCATCAGAAAAGCGAGTGCTGGCATTCCAGAACACACAGGCACTATCTACATGCTGCAGGAAGAACTCTGCTGTATTTTCTGCAGGGTAAAAAAAGAGAAACCAAGTTAGGATGATACCCAGAGAACATCCCCATTTCCAGTCATTCACTGGTCACAGATCAGGGTGGGGTCTGTGTCCCCACTGGAGCATCCTCATGTGTTGTCACATATTAAACATTCGGGCTTGTGAAAAGTCTCAAGAGGAAGAAGGCAAGTCAGCTTCATCAATCACAGTGTTGTGGAAAGACTGGGTTGGAATCCAGATCTCCCATGCAGGTGACCTGCCTACACTTCCTACTTATGGACTCCAGAGCCAGACTGCCTAGGCCTGAACTCCAGCTGTATACCCACTAGCTGTGTGACCTTCCGCAGGTGTATAAAACTCTCTGTGTCCAAGTCAAAGGGGACTGACATTACCTAGCTGACAGGGTTGTAGAGAGGATGAAATGAGTTAGCACCTGGGAGTACTCATCCTAATGCCTAGCACACAGTGAGTGGTTGGTAAATGTTGGCTGTTAATAAGGGTGGTACTGCTCTGGTGCCACAATAACTGACTGTAATTTCCTCAAGGGGGCCCTACTAGCAACCTTCACCATTGAGTCTCTAGTGCCTGACATCCAGGAGTGTCCCTGTATATATATTTGTGGAATAAATGAACAAATAATGTGCAGAGTTGGTTCTGTCCTTAATCTCGTGGGCCTTGGTTTCTTTAGCTATAAAATGGGTTTATTTTAACTACCTCATAAGATTAGTTGCATGCATTTAAAGATAATGCCTCTGACAGGGTTAGTCATCTTCAAGGCAGAGCTAACCATCCCTGCCCCACCTCCCCTGGCTGTGACAATATAATGAAGTGATATGAAAACACTTAGCCAAGTACCAAATGCAGCCACACCTAAGCATTACTGTAAAAGCCTACTCAAATTATGTGTTTTTTTGCAGGCCAAGAGGGGACTAAGAGGAGCAGAATCACCTTGGGGATGAAAGCAGCAAAGGCAGACACTATGGGGGAAGCATCTGGACACTGACCGTTCTCTGTGACAATGACATCAGTGTGGGAGCTGCCATACTTGTGGATGTGGTCAATAGCATCCTGAACGTTGTCCACTACTTCAATGCATAATTCCAGGTCCCCATACTCAGTTCGGAGTGACTTTACTTCGGAGGGGCTGAAGGTCAGATAGGAGGCAAATTTGGGGCCTGCGTGAATTTTTACCTAGAACAGAGGAAGTCCAGGGGCAACAACATAAAAACAACTGAAATAAGCAAGCTCTAGGAGAGAACAGAAAGGTGAGCCTGTAAAATCAGACCAAAGTGGCTCCTATGGCCTGGACAACTGAACTAGTCCTACTTTCCTCCCTCCATGCTTTGACCAGCCACTCGCCAGCAATGGGCCCTCAAGACAGGAGCAGGGATTGAAGCAGGAAGCCTTTGAACGTTACGAATGTGCAAGGTGTGCCAGGCATGATGGCTCACACCTATAAACCCAGCACTTTGGGAGGCCAAGGCAGGTGGATAACTTGAGGTCAGGAGTTCAAAACAAGCCTGGCCAACATGGTGAAACCCTGTCTCTACTAAAAATACAAAAAAATTAGCCAGGCATGGTGGTGGGTGCCTGTAATCCCAGCTACTTGGAGGCTGAGGCACGAGAATTGCTTTAATCTAGGAAGCAAAGGAATGTGCAAGGCGTTTAATGGGCTATCAACATAAGCCTTGACTTCTGGCATTTTACTGAAATGAATACTTGACAATAAAGATCCCAGTCTCTGCATATGGGACATAGGCACTGGACTCAGGTGGAAAGAGGGAGGTGCCACATATACATTCCTATTCCCTGCACCCTGGTGAAGTACCCGGTTTTCTCTACTTTAGAGGTAAGCAGTACTTGGTCAGGTTCTTTCAGCACCTCGAACTGTGGCTACTCGTACAATTCCAACTATGTCAGTCTGGCCCTACCCCTAGGTTCAGCTCAGCCCCAGGCTCTGGCTCTAATCCTGCTTCTGGTTGGAGGAATTTAAGGATTTTGAGGCTGCTCGCCAAGGCCCCCAATCTGGGATACAAGCTGGATTCCACATAAGCCTTGTTCTCTGAGACGTCCCTGGGACAGAGGTCATGCCTTGATTCTTTGAGACCAAGCTTTGGCCTTGGCTCAAGTTATAAGCGATGTCTGCCTTATCCTCATTATTCCTGAGGCCCTCCCACTGTTTCCTATCTGGGATCTCACTTCCTCCATGTTCCTTGGGGAATGGAACCTCATCCCTGTGCAAGTCATCCTTCTGGCTTTACTTCCTGCCATACAAAAGTGTTGCATGAAGTACACACAGTAACTCATTTTGATGAGGAATTTCAAGGCCATCCTCATTTTAATGACTGAGGTGTCTTCAAATTAGGTCTGGGGGCATTTAGTCCTGACTAAAGGAGAGCTTTCCTCCCGTCTCATCCAGTTCACTCTGGTGCTTGGCAAACACACGTGCCCAATCAACAGGCTTCCTTACCAAAGTAAAGTAAGGCCCCTGAACATGAATGATCATGTGACCTAACTTCCTTTTAATCCATGGAGTGCATTTTTGTTTTCAAAACAATTCTTTCCAGTTCTCACTGGGACCATGCCACATTTATGAGCTAACTGGAGCCTTCCTTTCCAGCCAAATGTTGGAAGGGAAGAGACACATGTTTAGGGTCAAAGCAACCAAGGCCAAAAAGCACCTTCTTTACTGCCATGCTGGTTTATATGATTCTAAAAGAGTACTGTGACATCAGATATTAAAGCTTAAAATGCATCCATGCAGAGAGTTTAACAGATTATCCAGTTTTGCCGTGAGGGCATCTATCATATTTTCTTGCAGTCATGAAGTTAGGACACAGCACAACTTTATATTTGAAACGTATTGGCTTTTGGTTTGTTTATGACCTTAATAACATGGTAAAAACACAACCCAGGGAGACATTCTACAAATTACTGACTCCCAAATATCACCGCATTAAGTACATTAATAATGGTAACCAAAGACACTGGTGGTGGGCAGTGAATGCATATAAGTTTTTGGTTTGAAACATTTCTGCACCATCTCTTCAAATCAAATCCAAAAAAGAATATATGTTTGGGAACAAACTTTACACCTTGACACCTGAATAAAAGGTCAGAAACAGTTCGGTCAGCATAGTGTCATGTAGTCTGTCTTACCTTTGGACCCTCTTTAGCACACAACACATTCCACCTTGTAATAAAGCTATTTGTATCTTGGTTTGGTTCGCTTTCTAGAGGGCGGGGGTTGTGTTTTACTCACCTCTGTACTTAGCATGGAACTTTGTACATAGGAGATGTTCACAAATATTGTTTCTTAAACTGCCTTATATGGTATGGCTGTGCCTGGTCTAATTCTGCAGGCTTCTAAAAGACGGGAAGTAATGTACTAGTCCTGTGAAACTGGCTTACCTGTTCCACTCTCAGCATATCAATGATCTGGTCAAATAACGGTGTCCTGAGCAGATCCCGATGGATTAACAAAGTCTCCAAAGCATTACAGGCAGCTGGATATTCACATTTAGAGTCTCTGACTGAAAGAAAATGAGAAAGAATTGTTTCCATTAACATGATCCAGAGCTTCAGAGGATGTACTATTTCCCCCTTGTAAAAGAGGAGACTCCAACCAGCTCACCTAGCCTGGTGACCTTATCGACACTGGCCTCGGAATCCACATACATGTGGCAGATCCCTTCGCTGTGCCCCATCACTGGAATTCCCTTAGCAGCTTTCTGGATGTCTCTGACTAGCTGGGAAGAGCCACGTGGAATAATCAGATCTATCATCTTGTCTAGGCGGCAAAGATCCTCAACTTCTTCTCTGGTATTGACCTTTAGAAGGAAAGAAGAAAAAGATAAAGAGCATCTTCCGATGACACAAAATATAAAAACTGCACCTTCCCTTTTACAGATAAACACCTGTACACTCTGAGAACTAAATGAGACACTGTGAAAACTTATTCTAAAAATAAAATTAAGTTCCCGATCCTGGGAATCAAAAAGTTGTCCAGCAAATGCTTATCAAACACTATACATCCGGTGCTGTGCTCCGCATTACAGATCATGCAGGACACAGTTCATGCCCTCAAAGAGCTGAGTTGAGTAGGGAAGGAAGCACTAGGGTACTGCTAGCCATAACATAGGACAGACAATTTTCAAAGTGCCAGAAGAAGCACTAAGGGTTGTCTGTGGAGGTTAAATGCAGTATAGACTACTCTAGGCCATGAGGATCACAAAAGGGAATGGCTGCTCTGTTGGTTTTCTATTCATAGCACTAAGAAAATGTTGGGTTGGTCTTGCTAGGGAGTCATGGTTCTCATGAGTTCTGATGAGAACTCCTACCTTGGGACATGGATTGAAATGACTTAAAAAGCCTGTGGGAGGATACTAAGATTATGGACATTTTGTTTGCTTTTGATTTTTAATTTTTCTCCATGTGGTCATATTACTTTTACAACAAATATATGTATGTATCAGAATGTTCACAGCAACTTCATTCCACACAGCCCAAAACTGGAAACAACTTAAATATTCATCAACAGAAGAAAAGATGGACTGTAGTATATGCAGGTAAATGGAATACTACGTAGCGATTAAATGAGAAAACTACTGCTAGATGCAACAATGTGAATGAATTCCACAGACATAATGAACAAATGACAGGCAACATAAACGTGTATTTTGTTTCATTTCGTTTACATGAAGTTTGAGAATAAGCAAAAGGCTGGGCATGGTGGCACATTCCCATCACTTTGGGAGGTGGAGGCAAGTAGATTGCTTGAGCTCAGGAGTTCAAGACTGGGCAACATGGTGAAATTCTGTCTCTACAAAAAAAAAAACAAGCACACACACACACACACACACAAATTAGCCAGGTCTGGAGGCATGCACCTGTAGTTCCAACGGCTAGGAAGGCTGAGGTGGGTGGACTGCTTGAGCCTGGGAGGCTGAGGCTGCAGTGAGCCGAGAGCAGAGATTGTGCCACTGCACTCCAGCCTGGGCAATAGAGCAAGACTATGTCTCAAAGAAAAAAAAAGGGCTCATGCCTGTAATGCCAGCACTCTGGGAGGCCAAGGTGGGTGGATCACCTGAGGTAAGGAGTTTGCGACAAGCCTGGCCAACATGGTGAAACCTCGTCTCTACTAAAAATACAAAAAAATTAGCCTGGCCTCGTGGCACGTGCCTGTAATCCCAGCTACTCGAGAGGTTGAGGCAGGAGAATCACTTGAACTGGGAGGTGGAGATTGCAGTGAGCCGAGATTGCGCCACTGCACTCCAGCCTGGGCAATAGGTGTGAAACTCCATTTCAAAAATAAAAGGCAAAAGTAATTTAATGTGACAGAAGTAAAAAAAATAGTTTGTGGGGTGGGGGGGAGCTACATACTGACTGGGCACAAGGTGCCCTCCAGGATATTGGACTCTTCTTATCTTGATACGGCTGGTGGTTATAGATGTGTGTGCATGTGAACAGTCAGAGTTGTTCACAGAATCTGTGTACTTTACTGTATGCATGTTACACATCACTAGAAAGAAAAGGAAGGAAGGAACCTGTGTAAGTTAGGATGTGGTAGAGCTGGGATTTGAATCCCTAAAATCTGTGCTCTTTCCAACCACTATGTTGGCATAAGGAAAAAGCCAGATTCTGGTCACTGAGTGTGTAATGAGCAGGTTTGTAGACATTCTCCCAGCAGCCAACAGAATCCTGGAATGCTGGCGCAAATGAGCCAAAAACAAGGATCTGGAGTCAGCCTAGGTCCACATCTAAACTCTACCACACACCATGTGACTCTGTGACTCTGAATCTGTTTTTTCCAATCTAGAAAATGGGTCTAATAATTAACGTTATTTTACTCATGGGACTCTTGTGAGGATCAGATGAGATACTGGATAAAATAAATGAGCCCTGCACATAGCAGGTGCTCAGTAAGTCACAGCTATAATTATCAAACTTCATTTGACAGTTGAGGAGAGTGAGAAATGGTCAAAGCAATGATCTTAGTAATAATAGTGACAACAGCATGATCTCATACTCACACACTGCATGACAGTTTATGACCAACTTTCATAAAGTTTCTCATCTGACTTACCCTAAATCACTCTGCCAATGACAAGAATTTAGGCCTCACACTCTAGGTCTGGGACTACTGCTGCCTTGTGACCCAAAGAATGAAGGTCTAATTGGCATTCTTGTAAATAACTAGTACCAAGACACAGCTATAAGGGAGGGCCTTCCTAAGCCACTGAGGACCCATCTGGCTCTGCAGAATGGCCTAAAGTCTGTAGGCTCACAGGCCTGCTGGAGTGTCAAGCCTGCCTGTAGGAGTGTCTTGGCCCTATGTGGCCTAAGTTTTACTTTAAATTCCTAAACACCTGATCTGGCCCCACTGGGCTTGAGTTGGTGCATTCCCAGGGACCTACCAGCTGCACGGCCTCCTTGACTCCATGGATTGAGAGGGCCTCCTGGGTCAGGAGGTGGAGAATCCGGTTGCTGTGTGTAGCCTCCTTCCCTCCTTTGAGTAACAAGCCGTTACCACTTGCAATAGCCAAAGCTGCCACCTGCAGATCAAAGGGAGAGCAGTGGATCAAAGGGGACAAACAGTAATAGTGACAGTAATGTTAGCGTTCATAAGCACTCTTCCTGAGCTGAGCAGTCTTCATCATTTTATAAGGCCTATGCTGTTTCATCCTCACAACACTGCAGTGAATTAAGTGTTTGTTTTATCCCCTACTTTACAGACAAGGGACACTGAAGCCCAGAGAGGTCGATGACTCCCCAGAGTTACACAGCTTATAAATGGTAGGGCGGTGAACCAGACTGAGGTGGTTTGACTCCAGAAGGAATCACTGGATTTTAGCAACTAAACTATACGGCTTCTTTAGCACCATTAGCAAAGAGAACTGAGTTAAGGCCAGGGCCATACGGCACCCCCCACTGTGGAGAACAGGGTCTTCAGCCACCTTTTTAGGGAAGCACTTGCTTTATCTGACCAGGCTGAGGCTGGGCAGCTCCTCTGGCCATATCCTACTCTGGCCTTGGAATTGTTCTGAGATCTCCAGTGCTTGCTGCTAAGAATCTGGAGAAAACTAGAGCTCCTGCCAGCCCTTGGGTAGCTATGGTAGAGAATGCTGAGAACAGAGTCTTTCCGACATGCCTGTCTGGGGAGGAAAAGGTAGACCATCCAGGAGGAGGGCTAGTTACCCTGTCAGGGCAAAGAGTGAGTGACACTGCACTGATCATCCTTCCTCTTATAAGTTACATAAACTTTCTCCAGACCAATGCACAGACACAGAATACTGCACACAATTTTTAGGATTCATAGATTCTGTGAAACCATCCAGGGTTAGGTCCAGAAGAGGAGCCTCAGCTGTTGTTAGCTAATGAGGAAAACTTACTCCTTGTGAGGGATCAGCTTGTATGGATGAGTGGTAGCAAAGTAAGTTCATGGATACAGTCCACAGAGATTTAGGCCCATTTCTACTAGCAGAGGTGAGTTTGGCAGTCATCACTGGGGCATTTCTGCAAGACGGCTATGTGGCCAGAGAGGCAGTGTGCCAGCATCAGCCAGGGACTGAGGATAGGCCTCAGTGCTATGGGAATTCCTTGGTGAACAGGCTGGTTTTAGAGGATGTCAGAGAGTAGAGTGGCTAGTGTTTTGTTTTTAAAACAGAATTTCCCTTTGAGACTTTAGGGCTAGTGCAAAGAAAGAGCTGGTATCATCCTACAGGACAGTCCAGTGGAGGAAATGCTCCCAGAGTTCCAGGAGGGAGTTTAGGGTTATAAAGTGGGGTCATTCGATAATGACACCTTGTATTTCCCAGAATGGCTGCTCGTCAAAAACTTTTAATACATGCTTTCTCAACAGTAGCCTGTGATATGTCGACTTGGTTAAAGAGGGTTGCATTCTAATTTCCATTAACTACTGAAAGTTCTTTTTCCTAACAGACGTACCTATAGGAAGCCATCTGTGACACTGACAATAAAGGGGTCCTTTTCACGTGGGCCAAGCCAGTTATTCATGAATGACTGCAGCAGGCTAGCAGAGACTCGAGGTCAGAGAACAAAGTGAACCACAGGTTAAGATATTTAGAAATTTGCTCCTGCACTGTGGTAAGGTAGGTTGATATGGGCTTCAGTCTCAGTTGCACCTTACAAGTGTGACCGGACTATTACCTTCTAAGAGGTTCAGTTCTCCAGCTCTAAAATGGACATATGAAAGTACTTTAGGATACTGGAAGAATCAAGAACCATAAATTACTGAAGAATAATCTGAGAATTATCTTTCTCAAAAATTATCTTTTTCTGGTTAAAATAAAAGACCTTCACACACATACACATACAATTGTCTTTGGGAAACTTATCTCCAGTATTGAAAATATATTCTTCCTTCAATTTCCGCACCAGCCCCCAATAGCAGGGTATTTATTCCCCTGGGGTATATACATACCTGGGGTAGACAGTCAGGACGAGATTCAAAGATCACCAGCAGAACTCCAATTGGGACAGTCACTTGTTCCAGTTCCAGGTTTTTGGCAATTCGGGTGCGACGCAAAACACGCCCCACGCTGTCCTGGGAGGAGGCTGCGATCTGTCGCAGACCGATGGCCAGGCTGTTCAGTTTGGATGTGGAGAGGCTTAAACGTTTCAGCAGAGGAGCTGCAAGTCTCCCTGAAAAGGCATTAAGAGAACAGGATGAAGTAGCAGACCTGGCAGGCTACAGCCACCAAGTAATGTGTCTTTTTTTTTTCTTTGAGCCAAGGTCTCACTCTGATGCCCAGGCTGGAGTGCAGTGGCATGATCTTGGCTCACCGAAAGTTCTGCCTCTTGGGTTCAAGCAGTTCTCCCGCCTCAGTCTCCTGAGTAGATGGGTCTACAGGCATGCGCCACCTGGCTAATTTTTGTATTTTTTGGTAGAGATGGGGTTTCATCAGGTTGGCCAGGCTGATCTTGAACTCCTCACCTCAACTGATCTGCCTGCCTCAGCCTCCCAAAGTGCTAAGATTACAGGTGCGAGCTGTCTTGATGTTTTACTGAACATGTGAACTGCATTAGGAATAGACTTGGGAAGGCAATGACATGCCATTTAAACTGTCTTTTTTGGGGGTCCATTTGGCAGTACACAGCATTATGGAAAGCTGTGTACACTGATAACCCTTTGTGCCACCAATTTCAGTTCCAGAAATTTATCATTTGCGTGAACAAGCAGGCATGTAATAAGGATACTTACCACAGCATTTTTGTAATACTGAGAAACTGAATTCTACCTAAATATTCAGACAGTGGGTTATAATTCAGTTATCATAAATAATATATCTAGGCTTACTGACATGGAAAGCTAAGACATAGTCTACGAAAATGGCAAACTATAAAACAGCATGTATGATATAATCTTATTTATCAAACACTGCACATGTATGTGTGCACAGAGGAAATATGGAAGACATCCAGGATAGTAATAATCTACTTTATCGTTCTATATTATTTTATTTTTTATAATGAGTGAATTATTTTTATAAGAACCAACGAAGATTTTTTGTTGCTTTTTTTTAAGAGACAGGGTCTTGGTCTGTCCCTCAGGCTAGAGCGCAGTGATGCAATCACAGCTCACTGTGGCCTTGAACGCCTGTGCTCAAGTGATCCACCTGCTTCAGTCTCCAGAGCAGCTAGGACTACAGGCATGCATCACCATAGCTAGCTAATTTTAAAAAATATTTTGTAGAGGTAGGGGTCTCACTGTGTTGCCCAGGCTGGTCTTGAGCTCCTGGACTAAAGTGATTCTTCTGTCTCCACCTCCCAAAGTGCTGGGATTACAGGCATGAGTGACCATGCTTGGCCAAAAACAAATGTTAAATTACGGCAAGTTCCTATGCAGAATTTTCTTTAAAAACAGTAGTATGCATGGTGTGATACCCTCTCTCCACACATAAACATGTACGTACATATTCATATATATAGATATGTACATGTAGATACTCAGAAAACCATCTGAAAACATACATCACAAATCATTACTGTGGTCAATGTTGAGATGAGATCACAAAAATTTTCTCTATTTTTTACAGTCACAGCCACCAAGATAAAATAATAAAAAGATTTCCACTTTGGGTGGAAGCAATTGACATTATATTAAGAAAAAAATTAAACCGTCTTTCTACCAACCAATTTACAAATTAATTAATTTTCTTTACTTTTCCTACATGCTAAAAAGCAAGTTTTAATTATAGTATATATTAAATGTTACTTTCACTAGCTTTTCACCTCACAATGCAAGTATGTTTTCCATGTTGCAAAAATTATATTAATTACTACTAAATATTCCATTAATTTGATACAGCTGAATGTACTTATCCACACCTATGTTATTAAATGCTCAGGTTGTTTCCAGTTTTTCAGTGTGGTAAATCCTGCTCTAAGAAACTTTAGATAAAGAGCTATTTTCTTTTTTTTTTTTGAGACGGAGTTTCGCTCTTGTTACCCAGGCTGGAGTGCAATGGCGCGATCTTGGCTCACCGCAACCTCCGCCTCCTGGGTTCAGGAAATTCTCCTGCCTCAGTCTCAAGAGTAGCTGGGATTACAGACATGTGCCACCATGCCCGGCTAATTTTTGTATTTTTATACATGTTTTACCATGTTGGCCAAGCTGGTCTCAAACTCCCAACTTCAGGTGATCCACCACTGAGCAGCTGGGAGTACAGGCATGCGCCACCACCCCCAGCTAATTTTTTTATTTTTTAGTAGAGATGGGATTTCACCATGTTGGCCAAGATGGTCTCGATCTCTTGACCTCATGATCCACCTTGTCTCAGCCTCCCAAAGTGCTGGGATTACAGGCATGAGCCACTGCGCCCAGCCGAGTTATTTTCTTTAGAAATATTTTTTGAGAATAAATTCCCCAAACTGGGATTGCTAAGCCATGCTCAGGGCTTTGTCCTTAACCCACTGTGCATCCTTATGCGAGTTCAGCTGAAACCAGCAGTCAAAGTTCTGCCAACAACATGCTGTAGAACCTTGGGCAACAACCGCTTTACCCTCTGTGGGTCTTAATTCTTTTACTTTAAATTAATGACTGGATAGTATCAAAGATTTCTTTCAGTTCTGAAAATCTACTTTACATTCTCTAATATTATAAAAATTCAAAAGACCAGGTATAAATTCTAGAGGAAGTTCTAAAACAATGGTTAAAAAATGTTTTAAGGAATGAAAGCAATGTTGTTGAACCTTGCAAAAGTTCTTTGAACAAAACACCATTAATATGGATGTTCAAGTTAATGCAAAGGAAATTCAAAACCCCATAAAATCAATCCCTATTATTTTAAGGTGGAAAAAACAGAGAATTAGGAAAAGAAGAGAAAGAGTCAGGACCCTAACTGACTCTCTACATGTCTAGGTGTTTGCTATGTGAGTTCATCTTACTATACCATTAGCACCTAAAGGGTATTTCTGGATAGCACCTGGTGCTAACTCAGGGAAGACAAAAGACTGGTTAATTAACTAAGAAACAAGCTATCTTTATTCTTTCTTCATGGGCTGCACAAACTATTTCTACAACTCTTTCCCATGTACAGTCCATCTGTGTTTAAATCCTGGTCTGTCACTGACTGTATGGCTTTGGGCAACTGACAACTTCTGTGAGCTTCAGTTTCCTTCTCTGTCAAATGGGGATAATAAATAGTAGCTATCTCAGAGGTACTATGTTATGGAGATTAAATGACATCCTGACTGTATAGCCCTTAGCACAGGGCCTGGCAACACAGAAAGTCCTCAGTAAATGCTAGCTATTAGCTTAATGTCTTGAACAGTGAGGTTCTCAATCTTGTTCTTTTTTGTCCTGACCGCCATAGTAGCCACAGCTTGTGACCTATAGGGAATGAAAAAAAGCTCCTTTGGGGGTTGTACTAAAGTATCTGTGGAAGAATACCAGCCACCCACCTACCCTCAATAGAAATGATACATAATATACAATTTCTTTTATAACAATCTTATCTATAGGTAGACATAACAATTATTAGTAAAACTAAAAACCAAAATGACCCCCACCCCTCCATAATATTGACCCTAAATTGCCTGGTCTTTACCCTCTGCCTCCTCCAAGTCTTTTTTGTTGGCTAACAGGATCTCATCACGCTGGTCCGTCAACAGATCAGCCAGATGATGGATAATTTCTGCTCTCTAGAAGAAAGGTACACCATTAAAAAAAAAAAAAAACAAACAGAGATGTTAATCCAAGAAGAGTGCACACCACAGTTTTTAAACCTACTCTACTGAGAGTGCCAGGCCTTGCTCCCACATCCAAGGTCACCACCAAATGAAATTTCCTGACTTCCCATCACTCATTCCCACCACTGCTCCCCTTATTTCTTCCTTCCTCTCTCACTGCCAACCTCTCTTGTCACTTCTTACTTTTCCTCTTTTTTTTTCCTTATGACTCCTGATTTTTTTTTTTTTTTTTTTTTTTGAGGCAGAGTCTCGCTGTGTCGCTCAGGCTGGAGTGCAATGTTGCAATCTTGGCTCACTGCAACCTCTGCCTCCCAGGTTTAAGAGACCCTCCTGCCTCAGTCTCTCAAGCAGCTGGGATTACAGGCACCCACCACCGTACCTAGCTAATTTTTGTATTTTTAGTAGGGACGGGGTTTCACGATGTTAGCCAGGCTGGTTTCAAATGCCTGACCTCAGGTGATCTACCCAGCTCAGCCTCCCAAAGTGCTGGGATTACAGATGTGAGCCATCATACCTGGTCAGACTCCTGATTATTATAATTAGCAAACCATGGCTAATTATTATAATCAGGAGTCATAAGAAAAAAAAAAGAGGAGGGGGAGGGGGCATGATAGATTATGTAACCGTACAGGGCCACTGCTTTGAATTAACATGATACATACAGTCTTACATATTTAATATCATTAGTTCTTTTATTTCCAGGTAAGTTTTTACATCTGTTTTTTCTTCCTTGTAAATTATTTATTTAATGCATTCAGTCAAAGTGAAAAAATTCAGTCCTAAGTATTTGAAGACACCCCAAACCTGACCTTGCTAGATTAGGAAATGTGGCAAATCAGTATGCTGATTACTGAAGGAGTAGAGAGAAGTGGTTTGAAAGGGAAGCTAGGCTCCTTCTTTGCTTTCCTTTCTCTGCCGTTGGAGTTACTTTCTCTTTTCTCAGGCCAAAGGATGCACCAGTATGAACCCACATACATCATCACTCTCAAATCCATCCTTGACAACATAACCCCTGAAGGACCAGCTCCCAGCTTCCACTTGACCTCCTTACCACTTACAGCCTCATTGTGTCTACTACTTAGACTAACTCATGACTAATTCATGCAAGACAGGTCAGAGCTACCAACTATGGAGCAGGCTCTTGAGCTTCCCATCTTCTAGGCAAGTCAAGGGATTTGGAATGGGTCGGGATAAGTAATTTTCCCACATTTCCATTCCCAGTATGTGGCAGAATTAGGTAACCTTCCTAATCTCATCATTTTTATGATGCTTTTAATCAAAGCATCATAGTGGTGAAAAGTTATCTTGGGCCTCTGTCTATAAAAGATTAAAGGGAAAATAAAGTTAAGAAAAAAAAAAGGCAGACCAAATTTGAATCAGACTTGTACCTTGGATAACTCTGTGGGTCACTAGGAATAAAGAGGGAGTCAGCAGGTTTGACTTCTGTAACCATACAGCATGACTCACTCTGAAAGCTAGAACAAAATATCAGCTAAGGTTTATTACCTGCTCAGGTTCCAACGTGGCCAACATCCTTCCTCCAGATCGAGCCATTTCTCCCTGTTGCTCAACAGTAGGCCCTGCGAGAATATGTGCAAATATCAGGTCATGGTAACCTTAGTTCTCTCTCACTTTGCCAGCACATGCACAGGCTCATCACGCCCATAGAAGGAACACATGGCATCCTGGTATGCTTGTTTCACATAGGGTATCACTATGACCAATAAAATAGCAAAAGAATGTGCCAGATTCACTCAGGTGTAAACATAAGAACTTGCCTGTATTTCTGGGGTAAACAATATACTTTATGTTTTCTAGAATTCTTCTGAATTCCACTTTGGCTAATATTTTTTAATGTGCTTGCATTTCTGAATGCAGATTAGGAGGCAATTCTGTCCTCTGTAAACACTCAAGAGCAAATACTGTATCATAGGCACCTTTGCATCTCTACTGCTTATCAGTACCTGGCATCTAACATAGGCCTAGCAACTGTTTCTTGAGAAAATGAATGCTTATATACTTTAACCTAGTGATTTTCCAGAACATAGGCCTAGCTAGGCAGGTTAGTTAGAATTTCACAAAAGTAAAGCAAAATCCAATTCTGCAAATAGTGTTCCAAACAATGCCTTATTTCATAATATTAGCATAACAATTTGTGATCTATAGCCCCACAATTAAAAGTCAGTCTTCAGTCCCATCTAAGCCAGGTGTCACTAGCTCCCATCCACAGGCCTTGGGACCTTATGAAGAACTATTTACCTGCAGGCTTTACTTCTGAAAAGAAGGTACCAACTTTCTTCCCCTCCACGATGTCTGTGATGACGTGTCCGGACACCTTAGGGTGGGTTCCATTGGCAATAACAACAGAAGTGCCACCTTGCAAAGCCCAGAGGGCTGCTTTCACCTGATGAGACAGGTGAGGTCCAAAGATGAGATTCAGACCTATTCACCCACATTTTAAACTTGCAAAAAGATATAAAATAAGTTGATATCAAACAACTTAAGTATATGAGAGAATGTTTTTAAAAGCTTAAGAGCTCTGAAAATACACACAACTCACACACTTTACAGCTCAACCGTGGCATTTGTTGCTTCAAAGTAAACCAACCTATCCTGTTTCCAGTCTGTTCTCTCTTCAGTCTTCTCTAGTATGGGACTCATAACTTCTGCATTTGATTTACTGTGCCTCAATTTAGAAACAGCTAAGTAGACCAACAGCCTGGGGGTTTGACCAGAGTCTGATCTTGAGTACTTTTAGGTTTTCTAAGTGGGGATCTTGTCATCATCTCTGCTGTTGATACATGTGATGCTGTACCTTAGGGGTATAACTTCTAAGAACAATTAATGGGACAGAATTTTTGAAAGATTTCACCAAGAAATATCTGAGCTGATAAATTAGAGGATTTATGAATTATGAAAAATATATAGGCCCTGCTCATGCAGAGTTTACAACATGAACACACTGTTTATATATTGTTAATGAAAAAACCACATACACAGACATAACTAAACATTGGAACACAACACTCATTAAATCTGTATTTAGATATGTACATATTTAGTGAGTATGTGCCTACTATCTGAACCATTAACCCCCATATAATTACAAAAGTAAAAAGGATAAAATATAGTTTGGGCTTTAAAATTGTTACAGGCAGTTAAGGCATCAGATTCTTACCTTGGCTTCCATGCCACCCATTCCCACTCTAGACTTGGTTCCAAATGTCACGGACTGCTGATCTCCAGGATAAAATATGTCAATAAGCTTTGCATCATCTGACCCTGGGGGGCTGTCAAAAAGGCCTAAAAAATAGACAGGGTCAGTAATATTGCTTTGACGGAAGTGTCTCCAAGACAGGCCTCCCCAGGGCACCTGCAAATCACTCTGTACTTTACTCATCCAAATGAATTCCACTCAACTACCACCTGCTCTAACTGGATAAAGAGAACAAAGGATTTGACACTGACGAACAGCTCCAGAGGACTCACCTTACATAGTTCTATAACCTGGCTTAATAAACAAATGTTTCCCAACATCAGACCATGGCCACATACTCGGCACAACATTTATTAGCCCTGCGCATATCCCTGGCAAGGTGTCCTTAGTTATGCCATTGCTACTTATGATGCTGTGCCTTAAGGATGGAACTGAAAAAGAAGAGTGGCTATTGCAAAAATGGCACATCAGCCATATACTGTTTAATGTGACTGTTTCCAAGCAGTAAGAAATGCAACAGAGGTACTCATTAACTCGCACGGTACCCTTTGAAACAGTCACTAATTTACACTTCCAATTTTATGAGTGAGTCACTGTAGAGGTTAGGCTGAGTCAGAAAGAAAGCGCATGACTCTTGGCATTTAGTCTGGACTTATTACCATAAAGCATATGTCCCTTTTATAACTGAGTGGAGTGACATAAAATAGTTACATGAAATGTTACATGCATACAATCCAAGATGAAAAATCCTCACAATTTCACTTTGAAAAAGAGTGAGTAGCAGCTTGGACAAGAAAAAGTGGGGGTAAGAGGGGTCTGAGAAAATAGTTCAATCGAGACCTAAGTGGACACAGATGGGGAGGCTGAGGACTGGCTGAAGGGCATTTTGGGCAGTGATTTTTCTGGTGTCAAGTTACTGCTTTTCCTGCACTGTAGTACACCTCTCCCCTCTATTATTCCAAACCTTGAAGACAATCTTGCTATATACTACCTCTCTGGGGGAGTAAGTGAATCAGGGAAGTGAGGATATCAATGTCCAATGTAGAGCAAAGCAGTACCAACCATAAGCCATGCAAATTATTACAGGAGAAGGAAAAATGATTTTTTATAATCTGTCAGTCTCAACTCCACAGCTCTCCAAGATTTAGGGTTAGGATCTTCCCAGAAGATACAGTGCTATGAGATCACAGATTTAGATTTAGAAGCTGTTTCCATTTCATATAATAGTATAGGGGCTGGGTGCGGTGGCTCACATGTGTAATCCGAGCACTTTGGGGGTCCAAGGTGGGTGGATCATGAGGTCAAGAGACAGAGACCATCCTGACCAACATGGTGAAACCCCTTCTCTACTAAAAAATACAAAAATTAGCTGGGCATGGTGGTGCGCGCCTGTAGTCCCAGCTACTCGGGAGGCTGAGGTGGAAGAATCACTTGAACCAGGATGTGGAGGTTAGAGTAAGCTGAGACTGTGCCACTGCACTCCAGCCTGGTGTCAGAGCGAGACTCTGTCTCAAAAAAATAAATAAATAAAAAGTATAGGAAAGATTAGACAATTCTAGCCAAACCTTCTCCCAAGACGGTGAGGGGTTCCTAGCATTCTGATAATGTGCCTACTCCTCTTTTCCCCTTACCCCACCAAGAGCATAGGTAAAATTCAGATACTATTCTAAAAAGTCAACACTCAGTGGAAAATGAATTAGGATAATTTCAATAAGAATGCCAGTCTGCCAATGACCTAATTTTGGTGTTTGAAGCTGCATCAAAACTGTCTGCTGGAGTCTCATTCAAATTGGATTCTATAAACGAATCTCAAAGACTTAACTTTTTTTTTTTAATGTTAAGTATAAGAGAGAAGGAAGAGTGTAGCTTTTTTAATTGTACAGACTCAGATTTGAAACTAGCCTCTGTCAAGCACTTGCTATGTGACTTTAGATATACCATTTAATAGATCCGAATTTAATTTTAAATTAAATTTTTAAAAAAATTATTTATTCTCCTCTTTCCGCCCCCTACCCCCACCCCCACCAGACAGGGTCTCTGTTTCTGTCACTCAGGCTGCAGTGCATGATCACAGTTCACTGTAGCCTCAGCTTCCTGGGCTCAAGTGATCTTACTGCCTCAGCACCCCCCAAGTAGCTGGGATTACAGGTATGTGCCACTGTGCCCCGCTTCAACTTAATTTTTAATTTCTTCTTCTGTAAAATTAGGTTAACCTACCTATTTACTTTGTAGGGTTCCTATAAAGATTGAAAGTTATATCTATTAAGCACCTAGCACACTATGTGCTCATAGTAGAAATTCAATAAAAACCTGCTGATTGGCCAGGCGCCTTGGCTCACACCTGTAATCCTGAGGTAGGGATTTGGGAGGCCGAGGCAGGCAGATCACAAGGAGTTCGAGACTAGCCTGGCCAACATGGTGAAACCCTGTCTCTACTAAAAATACAAAAATTACATCATTGAATAATAGCAATGATGTAAACACATTAGAACCCTCATACAATGCTGGTAAGAATATGAAACGGTACAGCTGCTTTGAAAAACAGTCTAGTAGTTCCTCAAAAGTCTTTTAAACAGTTACTATATGACCCTGCAATTCTACTCTTGGGTGAAATAAAAACATGTTCACACAAAAACGTCTTATAAATATTCATATCTAATGTCTATCAATTGATGAACTGATAAATAAAACACAGTATATCCACAGAGTAGAATATTATTCAGCAATAAAAAGAAATGAAGTATTGATACATGCTTTAAAGTGGATAAACTTTGAAAATATGCTAAGTGAAAAAAGCCAGTCACAAAGGGCCACCATATTATATGATACCATTTAAATAAAATGTCCAGAACAGGTTAATCCATAGAAACAGAAAATATCCTGGAGGCTGCCTAGGGATGGGGAGTTTGGGTAGAAGTGGGGAGTGACTGCTAAAGGTTATGGAGTCTCTTGTTGGGGTGATAAAAGGAAAAGTGTTCTACAAATGACTGTTGTTATAGTTGCACAATTATATGAATATACTAAAAGTCACCGAATTGTAAACTTTTATTTATTTATTTTTGAGTCAGGGTCTTGCTCTGTCACCCAGGCTGGAGTGCAGTGGTGTGATAACAGCTCACTGCAGACTGTAACTCCCAGGCCCAAGTGATCTTTATGCCTCAGTCCCAAGTAGTTGGAACCACAGGTGCATACCATGACGTCCAGCTAACTTTTCTATTTTTTGTAGAGACAGGGATTCACTATATTGCCCAAGTTGATCTCAAATTCCGGGGCTTAATTAATCCTCCTGCTTTGGCCTCCTAAAGTGTTGGGATCATAGGTGTGAGCCACCACGCCAAGACAGCATTGTAAATTTCAAATAAGTGAATTGTATGGTATATAAATTATATCTCCATAAAGCTGTTATTTAAGAAAAACAACTGAAAGCACCTAGAAATAACATTTCAGTATTCAAACTACATCTCTTAGACTCGCCCACCCTCTTCTGAGTCATAAAAGCCCTTTGTCAGACCATATGGCTAATGATCTATAGCAAAAAAAGATCACAGGGACTCAGAGAAAGAGGGAAACTTTCCCTCACACATGTAGCATCTAGAACAAAGGGCAGATAAAAAGAAAAAAAGCATTACTTTGTACCTTCTACATCTGAAAGAACAATCAAGAGGTCAGTTTTCATTTCCACAGCCAGACGAGCAGCCAGACTATCATTATCTTTAACACTAATAACCTAGAATGCAGATTAAAAAGTCATAAGTGAGTGAGCTAAACAGTCCAAAAAGAAATTAATGGAAGCACCCAGCTAAGCTCAGGCAAAACCAAGCTAGGCTCAGGCAAAACCAATGAACCCAAATACGTAGATGACAGCTCTTGCAGGCCCCTTCTGTCTGCAAACACACTGTCTACTGGCAACCCCTTTTCCAAACATGCAGTCTTTCGGCCACTGAAATATACAACGCCATGCTCATTGTACCGTCTTAAGTGACTATAGCACCTCAACCTGTTGAATGCAACCCCAAGTTCAGAAGAGCTTATGCAGTCACTGCTCCATGACAACAGTTTCTCTCATAATTTTTCCATCTTGTTCATGCCAAATTTCTGGTGTTAGTGCATGCATCACAGCGTGGTGTTAGTGTCTCCAGCATGCTTAACCCTTAAAATACTTTACCCACATTTACCCCCTGCAGGTCACTGTTGGGCTCAGCTGGGGGGACAACAGCATCATTTGTGTTGACAATGGGGACAATGTTCATTCTAAGGAGTTCATGAAGTGTTCCATTGAGGTTTCGGCGCTTCTGCTCATCGTGAAAATCCAAATTGGTCACCAAAATCTAAAAGGATTAAACAGATTGAAAATGCAGGAGGGAGAAAAATGATAAACTTCCCAGCATACAAAAGATGCTAAGAGTAGGGGAGTTAACTTTGGGTTTCTAGGGACCCATACAGAGTAGAATTTTAAAAAGATGCTAAGAGTAGGGGAGGTAACGTTAGGTTTCTGGGGCCCTATATAGATGAGAATGAAATACACATATCTGAGTGTTTATCCAATTCTTTTTTTTTTTTTTTTTTTTTTAGATAGGGTCTCAACTCTGTTGCCTGGAATGCAGTGGCATAATCTCTGCTCACTGCAATCTCCACCTCTTGGGTTCAAGCAATTCTCATGCTTCAGCTTTCCAAGCAGCTAGGATTATGGGCACATGCAGCTAATTTTTGTATTTTTAGTAGAGACAGTGTTTTGCCATGTTGGCCAGGTTGGTCTCGAACTCCTGGCCTCAAGTGATGGGATTATAAGTGTGATCCACTGCGCCTGGCCCTAATTCTTGTACAGATTTAAAAAAAAAAAAAAAAGTACAATAATCTGAAAGATTTATTTAAGAATTTATTTAAGACTTCTTGCTAAAGTACTTCAATCCTCAGAGAGCTACCAAATCTCAAAATCTCATTCATTTACAAAATTAAGAAAATTAATATAACTATTTCAGAGGGATACTAGGGGAATCAGTGATTATCCATTAATTTATTTTCTTTTTTTATAGAGAGGGTCTTGCTCTGTTGTCCACGCTGGACTTGAACTCCTAGTCTCAAGTGATCTTCCCACCTCAGCCTCTTGAATAACTGGGACTAAAGATACACACAACTGTGTGCAGCAATTTCTAAAATATCTCTGTATCCTAGCATCTGATTCAGGGCCTGGCCCTAGTAGGCCCTTAAATATTTGGTGAATGAGTGAATAAATTATTTACTCTGCTTAGAAAAGTGTGTTAGACAACATGATATAGTGCTGTGTTGTTACTGCTGTTGCTCTGAAGCAGACCATTACTGGAGTTAAGAAAGACTGTGTGTGAGCATGTGGGGTTAGTCTGAGAAATTTACAGAGGTTAGTCTTTAGTCACAAGCTGAAAGAGGGACAGAAGGCAACTTAGTTCAAGGGAAGAGATGAGCATAAGGTGCTCAAAGGTAGAATGAATAGCTGGGTGTGTGGGCTGGAAAACAGCTCTGCTTTCTTGCTTGAACCAGAATTTTACACAATGTTTAGGAGAAAAAGATAAATGGGTAAATGGAGATAGCAAGAAACTAAATGGCAACAAACCTTGAAGCTCAACAAATACTTTAATATAATCTCTCCAATGTTTAAGGAAAAGAGTTCTTGCTATGTAGGGCAGGATGTGGTAGGGAAAGTTGGAAGCAAACAGTAAAGAAAGCAGGCACTCAAACAGTCAAAGTGAGGATGGTTAAGGGTCTGGTTACAATAAGTGAGTAGCCTTAATGGTATATAAGACATTGGAAACATATATATAGAAAAATAATTCACTCACTCACTTGATAAAAAATTTGTTGAGTATCTGAAATGCCAGGGTCTAGCTGCTGGAATAGAGAATAAGAATGTTGATAGTTTGGGGAAAAATAAAATGGGGCATATTTAAGGCTGGGCACGGTGGCTCACACTTGTTATCCCAGCACTTTGGGAGGCCCAGGAGGGCAGATCACCTGAGGTCAGGAGTTTGAGACCAGCCTGACCAACATGGAGAAACCCTGTCTCTACTAAAAATACAAAATTAGCCAGGCATGGTGGTGCATGCCTGTAATCCCAGCTACTCAGGAGGCTGAGGCAGGAGAATCACTTGAACCCAGGAGGCAGAGGTTGCAGTGAGCTGAGATTGTGCCATTGCATGCCAGCCTGTGCAACAAGTGCAAAACTCCATCTCAAAAAAAAAAAAAAAAAAGATGGGAGGCATATTTTTGAAAGGGAAGATCATGAACTCCTTTCAGAAAGGCTTAGTTCTGTAGGACACAGGCATAGGTCAAGGCTGAACATACAGATTCTAGTCACGATGGTGAAAGAGCAAACAATTAATATAAACATGTGTGTAGGAGAGGCAAGCAGCAGGTCTAAAGGTCCAGGAAAAATACCCGTCACCAAAATAGCTTCACAAAAAAAGGTAAGAGATAAAGAGTCCCAGGAGGGAAAAGTACGTGTTTAGACAAGGGCAATCTGTTGAGGACAAATCAGTTTCCCTTCTATGAAGAAAAAAAAAGCTGTTGCAGTGTTTAAGTCTTTAACCCGGCAAATGACCTACTGGAAATTTTCAAAAGCCACTGATAATAGTCTTCTATATAGGACTATTGAAGAAAATAAGGAACCAGAAGATAAGGTACAAAGAACAAATATTTTCTGTAGATATCATGGTCTTTGGGGAAGACACAGGTGTTTGAGGAAAGAGCCCAGGGATTGAAGCTTTTTGGGAACTAGAGGGGGCAGAGCTCTTCTTTCACTCAATGTGAATTAAAACAATGGCTGATGCTGCACTGACTCTTAATGCTACTGTCATTCAAAACAAAACAAAAACAAACTCTCAAAAAGTACCATCCCTGAGAAAAACCAAACCAAAGCAAAACCATAGCTCTTGGACTTGAGTTTCCTCACCTGGCTCTAGGCACTTAAAAAAAATTAAAGACAAAATTGTCATTGGACTGTGGAGAAGAGAAAGCAGATAATAAAAAGAGTGATAGGAACAGAGATTTATATTGTACTAGGAGAAAAAAAAAAGCTAAGACTACAGAATGTGGGGTCCCCAGTCATAGGCAATGGGACAAGTCCATGCCTTTCTGTGTCAGCTCACTGACTTGAAGACACTCTGGTATAATACCTGAATATTACTGTGGGTACAAACAGGCAAATAATGGAGAAACAAAAAAAGTAACAGAAAAATGAAGAAGAAAAACCTGATATATATGTATTTACACAAGTGATATTGTTATATAGATATACAATATCACCTTATATGTTATTTTATATTATGGATATTATTTTACATGTACACCACATGCCTGGATGTTATTTTACACAGGTGATATTGTTACATGTGGTGTACATGTAAAATAATATCCATAATATAAAATAACAGATATTTCATATCTTTGCAGATAAATGAGTTTCAAAATAAAATAATTTGGGAGTTAGATTTTTTTCAGTTGTTTCCTGAGGTGACTGTTATTTAGATGTCTCTATTTAGTGTGTAGTTGTACAGTTGATTAAGAATACAACTGTAAAAAAATTCAGGAGAATTAGGTAAAAATAAAACAATGTAGCAAGAAGGTTCTAGAACATTTTGGGGCAGGCACCACGAATTTGTAAGTCCCATGAGGACTGAAATCATGTCTGACTTGTTCACCACAGTATCCCCAATGCCCAAGACTGCTAGGTACACCAAAGGTGCTCAATAAATATTTGCTGAATTAGTAAAAAAACAAACCAACTACCAGCATTCCTCTTTCCCTTCAAAGCTTAATAAATATCTGCTATAAAAGGCAACCAACCAGGTGCAAAGAGAAGCAGGCCACCTGAAGTGAAATAAAGACATTTAACTTCTCTGTCTTCAGAAGTGTTCGCACTTGTAATCCTAAGAGTTATTAGTGTAACAAGAGCTAATATTTACTGAGAATGTATTATGTACCAAACACTATACTAAATGCTTTTCATATATTTTCTCACTGAGTCCTTCCAAAAACTCTCTGAAATAGGCACTGATATTATCCCCATTTTCAGATGAGGAAACTGAGGCACAAAGAAGTTAGATAAGAAACTTTCGGCTGGACGTGGTGGCTCACACCTATAATCCCAGCACTTTGGGAGGCCGAGGAGGGTGGATCACGAGGTCAAGAGATCAAGACCATCCTGGTCAACAAGGTGAATCCCCGTCTCTACTAAAAATAGAAAAATTAGCTGGGCATGGTGGTGCGCGCCTGTAGTCCCAGCTACTCGGGAGGCTGAGGCAGGAGAATTGCTTGAACCCAGACGGCAGAGGTTGCAGTGAGCCGAGATCGTGCCATTGTACTCCAGTCTGGGTAACAACAGTGAAACTCCGTCTCAAAAAAAAAAAAAAGAAACTTCCTTCAGATCTCTCAAATAGCAAATGATGAAGCTGATGCCATATTCCACGAGTCTGGCTCCAGAGCTCTTTGTTCCACAAGAACCACCCTCACAGGTCTCACACCCTTTGCAAAGCCCACCCTCTCACCTGGGCAGCACAGATGCTGTACTGGGTAAACATAGCCTCGTACAAAGCCATCAGCCCACTCTGTCCGGCAGCTGCACAGGCTCGTGCCTCTAAGACTGGAATTGCCTGTAACATACCAATCAGACAAGGTATGGTCGGGAATGAGGGAAGAAGACCTGAGGATCCATTTCAACGAGTGGGGAAGCAGCACTCACCATCTCTTTCAGCTGGTTCTGCCCTGAGTGTAGGGCCTGCCGCACACTCTGAGACAGAAGGATCTCATGGCGCAAGCGTTGCTTGCCAAAGGCTACGGCTCCACTGGTCACCAGCATCATCTCTCTGCCCTGATTCTGCAGCACTGATACCTGGCATTGAGAAAGGAAAGGGAATCACAAGTCAACATATTGTCTCTTTCATCTCCTCACAAGGGATAGAGGTAGGGTAGACTATTGAGTAGAACCCAAATGCAGAATGCCTGAGCCCAGGAGGTTCAAGACCATCCTGGGTAACATGGCAAGACCGAGTTTCTACAAAGAATACAAAATTTAGCCATGCATGGTGGGGCATGCCAGGTACCTGGGAGGCTGGGGTAGGAGAATCACCTGAGCTGAGGGAAATTGAGGCTGCAGTGAGCCGTGATGGTGCCACCAAACTCCAACCTGGGCAACAGAATGAGAGAGACATTGTCTCATAGAAAAAAAACCCTATTAAAAAATTTTCTTAAGACAGAGTCTTGCTCTGTCACCCATGTTGGAGTGCAGTAGCATAAATGTGGCTCACTGCAGCCTTGGCTGCCTAGGCTGAAGTGATCCTCCAGCCTCAGCCTCACGAGTAGCTGGAACCATTGTTTTAATATAAATCCCAGGCAACAGACGTTATTTCATCTGTAAACAGTTTGGCAGTAACCGCTAAAAGATTATATATATATATATATATATATATATATATATATATGTATATATATATGTAACATATAACGTAATTATATTTTAAACATTTTATAACAATTATAAAGTTATAATTATATATATTTCTCTCTCCACAAAACCATTTTCATCTGAAACATTTCAGTGATTTCCTTCATATCAAAGAGCCAGTGTTCATATTTTGCCAATTTTTTTTAGCTTGCTCAAATTGAGATGCAAGCTAAACCCTGCCTTACAAATTAATTGGAGTGTCTCTTGAGTCTCTTTAATTCATGGGTTCCCCTCTCCATCAGTTTTCCTCCTTGTAATTTTTTGTTAAACTCAGTTGTTTATTCTTTAGGATTTCCCAGCCTACATTTTCCCAATTGTGTCCCTATGGTCTTAACACTGCACTTTGTATTTCCTATAAACTGCTGTTTGGTATGAAGGCTTGTTTTTTTTTTCCCCCAACAATTCTTAATAGGTTGTGGTGTACAGTCCATCAAGGGGATACATAATGCCTGGTTATTTTTCTTTTTGTGGTATTAGCATCTGTTTGATGATCATTGCCAAGATCTCGCTATGTTGCCCAGGCTGGAGTGCAGTGGCTATTCATAGGCACTGATTCCCACTACTGATCAGCATGGGAGTTTTGACCTGCTCCGTTTCTGACCTGGGCCGGTTCACCCCAACACTTTATCATAGTTCACTGCAACCTCGGGCTCCTGGGCTCAAGCAATCCTCCTGCCTCAGCCTCCCAAGAAGTTAGAACTTTTTGAGACAGGGTCTTGCTCTGTCACCAAGGCTGGAAGGCAATGGTATGATCATAGCTCATTGGAGCCTCAACCTACCAGGCTCAAGCAATCCTCCTATCTCAGCCTCCTGAGTAGCTGGGGCCACAGGAACATGCCATCATGCCTGGCTAATTTTTAAAAAATTTTTTGTAGAGTCAGCGTTTCACTATATGGCTTAGGCTAGTCTTGAACTCTTGGGCTCAAGCAATCCTCCCGCCTCAGCCTTCCAAAGTACTGGATTACAGGAATGAGCATGGTTGAGAGCTGATAAAACTTCATTTACAAAAACAGGCAGCATGCCAGATTTGGCCAAAAGTCAGAAACCAGACATCTGGGCATCCCACAGATAAAGCAAGAGCTCTTCCATGGCAGCTGAAATTTTACGCTACCCTCCATAATTAAATTTTCAGTTTTTAAAAAACAACTTTCCTGAGGAGTTAATATTGGGAAACTGCTAACCTGTAATCTGATAGAATTTTTTTCTTACATTTTCCATTCTAAACAATTATCAAGGGTGAGCAACAAAGTGAGACCCTGTCTCTACAAACTTACAAAAATTAGCTGGGCATGGTGGTTTGTGCCTATAGCTGCAGCTACTTGGGAGGCTGAGGTGGGAGTATCACTTGAGCTTGGTAGATTGAGGTTGCAGTGAGCTGTGATCATATCATAACAGTCCAACCGGGGTGACAGAGTGAGATCCTCTCAAAACAAAGAAACACAGCTGCCTCATCCCAGAGACACTTATTAAATGAATAGGTGTGAAGCCCAGGCATCTCCAGGCCTGAGATGATTTTACTGCATAATCAGAACTAAGAATCTCTGACAGAAACAGCTCTTAATCACTATGAAGTCTGAGGCGTGAACTGCATGAAATCACCCCTACGCCGTAACATTCCCTTTTCTTGCCCTAAGATGCTATCTCTTACTGGCATCTATACTGGGAAACAGTTTCACACGGGGTTAAATCTATTGCACTGAAATCATAATTATTTTTATAAGTTGATGAGCAACTTAAACCCAATTTGAACTAGCAACTCAAAACCCCAATTTAGTACGGCATAATTTCTATCTTGGCAATCACCTGCTCAACAATAGATGCCAAACGCCCCAGGGCCAGGCCACATTCATCCCCTCGGGTCACCACGGCACTGCCGAGCTTCACCACGATTCTCTTGGCATGCTTCAGCTCACTGCGGTGGGCAAAGGACTTGCCATGTGCACGACTGAGGGGTACAGTGATAAAGGGGATGTTGCTCCAAGAACGAACATGTCTGATGACTGAAGGCTGGATACGATCTGTAGCCACCAAGGTCAAATGCAAGAAGGAAAGAAATACTCAATTTAGTTTTTCAATAAAAATATCCATGTCCAGTATTAACCAGTTTAGATAACAAAAAAATAGCATTATCATTAACTGTGTAAAACTAGCACAGTATATCAAAAGCTCTATCTAGCATATTTTTATTTTATGCTAGCATATTCTTATTTTATATATTCTATCTAGCATATTCTTATTTTATGTATTGTATGGAATTTACACCCAGTATGCAGCTCATAGGCACACTCAAATGCCGTTGGTGAAGAGTACAAATTAATCTCTCCTGAATTTAGGTTGGCATATTTATAAAAAGCCTCAGAAAAAAGTTCTCTAAAAAGGATATTTATCAGAAAGACAGTGTTCATCACTCTTATTTATTATCAGAAAAATCAGAAGCAGAGTAAATGTTGAATAAAAGGAGATAACATTTTTAGAATTTTTAATAATGCAGAAAAATGCTTATGTTAATTTCATATACAATAAACACACAGATGGATAAAATTAATGAAAAATATTTTATCTCGATAGGATTATAAGCAACTTTAAATTTTATTCGTTGTTCTTTCTTGTATTTTCCAAGTTTATGCAGTTAAGATGCACTGCTTTTATAATCAGAAAAACATGGGTGTTTCTAAAGAAACCATATTATTATAAAAAGAGGAAAGAGCTGGCCAGGCTTGGAGGCTCACACCTATAATCCCAGCACTTTGGGAGGCCCGAGGTCAGGAGTTTGAGACCAGCCTGGCCAACATGGTGAAACCTCGTCTCTACTAAAATACAAAACTTAGATGAGTGTGGTGGCAGGCACCTGTAATCCTAGCTACTCAGGTGGCTGAGGCAGGAGAATCACTTGAACCCAGGAGATGGAAGTTGCTGTGAGCTGAGATTGTGCCATTGCACTCCAGCCTGCACTCCGTCTCAGGAAAAAAAAGAGGGAAGAGCCTGATTAGCAAAGACATTAAAGAACAAAGTATCCCAGCACTTTGGGAGGCCGAGGCGGGTGGATCATGAGGTCAGGAGTTCGAGATTAGCCCAGCCAATACAGTGAAACCCCGTCTCTACTAAAAATACTAAAATTAGCCGGGTGTGGTGGTGGGCACCTGTAGTCCCAGCTACTCAGGAGGCTGAGGCAGGAGAATTGCTTGAACCCAGAAGGCAGAAGTTGCAGTGAACTGAGATAGCACCATTGCACTCCAACCTGGGCAACAGAGCAAGACTCCGAGATACACACACAGAGTAAGTGGTATGAATAAAAAATCTTAACTAGTCTATCTGCAATTTCTCTTTCTGACATGGCAGTATGAATCCAGATGCCTGTAAACAATGATAAAAGAAACCGGAGAGCTTTCTGAAGGAAAAGCAATGTTAGAGTCAGATCCTTTTCACCCCATTAGACATCTGCCTCTAACCAATTCTTTCCTGATTTTTTTTCTTATAACATTGTACAAGATTACAGATAATTTGTATAGATGAACAAACAAACAGAAAAATGTACAAGATTTCTAAGGAGGAAAAAAAATCTTGATTAAAAACCTGAATAGATACCTGCATAAAGCCAAAAGTAAAAGAGTAAAAGCTGAATGTCAGGCACAGAACCCCTTCAACAATTCTCATGGGCCCAACACCTCCTGCTTAGCTGCTTACTAATTACCCATTCGCCCTTTCTCACACAATTATCAGATACCCAAGTATTAGCCGGGCATACTGCCACCAGTTGAAAGACTACATTTCCCAGCCTTTCTTGCTCAGATAGATAGGACCATGTGACCAAGTCTGGCTAATGAGACAAGTGAAAATGTTATGTGGGGTTTCTAAGAACTTAAAAGAGACGTGCTTTCTTCTCTTCATCCCCACTGCTGCTTTGAATATGGGTATGAAGGCTAGAGCTCAATCATTCATTTTGAACTACAAGGAACTGTGAAGAAACAGGAATGAACAAGCAGGGATCCCTGATGATTTCACAGTGCTATTCTAGAAGCCCTGGACTGCCTACCTTCTTGCAGGACTGCTAGGCTTCAGGAGAAAAGAGAAATACATTTCTATTCTGTTTGAGCCACTAGTATTTTGAGTTTCCTACTACATGCACATAATTGAAACTGACACAGGAGAATGAGTGCACAGGCAGATGGGCTGGGTGAGGCCTATGTGGGAGAAAAGATGCTGTCAAATCAATGGGGGTGGAGAAGGGTGGGAGGGGTGCTTAGAGCAAACAGACCTTCCTCCTTGATAGCAAGAAGCAAGACAAGGTGGGTAACATTGGTTCTCAGCAGGACTAAACTTTAAGCAATTCCCTGCAAAGACTCTTCTACATCTCATTACAAACAACTCACAAATATTTAAATGAATTACTAAAATAATTATTCCAAGCCACCCTTTGAACCACTGTTCTACAAATTTATTAGAGAGTTAACTACTTTCACTTGAACCAACCATTATCACTTCCCTTTAAAGTGTCTGTCTATAAATGACAATTTTCTCAAAATTTCTTTTGACCTTCTGACTCTATCTCCTGGCCACTAACTCACTCCCTAACCACAATCTACTGATGATGGGTGAAGCAGGTAGGAGCTTATTCTCATAAATGGGAAGGTACCTGTGGGTTCTCCTGCCTTCCTGCCTCCTTCAAACACAAATCTTAGAAAGAACATTTCTAACGAAGTAGTAAAGAGTCATTTCTTCCTTCCTTTAAATAACCATTTTTCAAGTGACTATGTTTCAGGTTTGTGGAGATATAACAAAGTTAATATGATCTTTTTTCACAATAGGCTTGCCATCTAGATCCTGGCACAGATGTACACAGATGTAAGCCATCATCTGGGACGGCACCGGGGTTCGGGCAGTATTGCTGGATCCACAGGTGCATGGTCTCTTCCTGCTGCAGAAGTCCCTGGGGCTAAAGGACTGGTTTGTTGTTGAGGCTAAGTTTTTTGGAGTGCTACTTTCCTTCATTAGGTTAATTATTAATAATATAGGTACACTAATCTGTTTTCAGGAATATTATCCTAAGTAATATGTACACTTAAGTCTTAAGATTAAAAGTTGTACACATAATGGTCTGGTCTCACTGATCTGATAGAGAGAAGGGTGGTGGAGAGACAGGCTTACTCCCCTAGGATTTCAACCAGGAATCATCAGTGGTTGTTTGCAGAGCTCAGAGCTATGTCAAGTATTGTGCATTACCCTTTGGGCAGCTATCAGATCTAGGCTTTTTGGCTTTCTCCCCTCTGCTGGAGGCCCTATCCTGACCTCGAAATGTGGTTGAGATACTGGGTGAAATTGGGAAAAGGGCATAAGGGACCTCTTTGTACCATTTCTTAAAACTACAAGTAAATTTATAATTAACTCAACATGTACAACTTAATTACAAAAAAAAAGTAATGAACAAAAATAGCACAGGGCCAGGCGCAGTGGCTTACCTGTAATCCCAGCACTTTGGGAGGCCAAGGTGAGCAGATCACCTGAGGTCAGGAGTTTGAGACCAGCCTGGCCAACATGGTGAAAGCCTGTCTCTACTAAAAATACAAAAATTAGCTGGGCATGGTGGTGCACGCCTGTAATCTCAGCTGCTAGAGAGGCTGAGGCAGGAGAATCACTTGAACCTGGGAGGTGGAGGCTGCAGTGAGCTGAGATTGTGCCACTGCACTCTAGCCTGGGCGACAGAGTGAGACTCCTCAAAAAAAAAAAAAAAAAAAAGTAGCATGTAAAAATTTGGAGGCAATAAATACAGGGAACACTTTATTGACACAAACACTTAGAACATTTCACTAGGAGGCTGCCTCTTTGCCTCCTTGCTATTTGGCAGAATTTTGTCTAATTCTGCCAAATTACATCTTCTTCCCTGTCTCTCTTTTAAACCTTTTTTCTTGGTTGGGCATGTTGGCTCATGCCTGTAATCCCAGCACTTTGAGAAGCCAGGTTGGGCAGATTATTTGATCTCAGGAGTTTAAGACCAGCCTAGGCAACATGGCAAAATCCTGTCTCTACAAAAAAATTAAAAAAAGTCAGCATGGTGGTGTGTGCCTGTAGTCACAAGTACTTGGTGGGCTGAGGCAGGAGGATTGCTTGAGTCCAGGAGGTCTGGGCTGCACTCAGCCATGTTTGTGCCACTGCACTCCAGACTCAGTGACAAAATGAGACCCTGTCTCCAAGCAAACACCGTTTCCTCTTTTAAAACCTCATCTGAAACATACTTTGACAACCAAACTTTCCAGATACTCATAAGTTTCCTATGGTACATACGAGATCTGGAGACGGCTGTGCACTGGACCCAGGGCAGGAGATGTTGGTTGAAGGGCTGGAACCCACAGCGGTAAACTTGACTCAGCATGCTGCGATGTGGTCACTGACCAAAGTATCTGCAGAATACAATTTTTAAAAAGTGAATAATGAAAAATTCATTTTATTTCCCTCTATTTCCCCTTACTCTTGGAGTAAAAATCTGACTCTCCTGCTCCAAACTCCTCTGTATTAGGGAAACTTCCACCTCCTCTATATTATAGAAAAGAGAGAAAGAGTAAGTGGCTCCTTCCTAGGCCTTAACCCTAGCCCTTCCTTTTCTAGGACCATCTTAGTATTTATGTAAGCAAATAACAATGCAGGGCTATGAACATTTTGATGGTCAAAAAAAATCTGGTCTTTTTGGCATCTTCCAAATTAAAAAAAAAATCTTTCAGGTGCAATGCTTATGTATTAATACTAAACCTTCATATAATTCCTATAACAGATCCAACATCCTAAAGCAACCATGTCCACCTTTCTGCTAACACCTCCCAACAGAACCGGGAAATATACATAAATGAAATGTCAGCTTGATCCCTGCCAGACAGCCATGAGAAGCAAGACGAAAGGCCAAAGGCTGCTGCCATGTCTTTGATGCCCACAGGATTATAAATTAACTCTTGCACCCCTAGAAGGCAGCGGCAATGCCTGCAACAGGTGTTAACATCTTAATCCTGTGGAGGATGAGAACATGGCTACAAATCTCAGTTGAAAACATGAGGCGGTTATGGGCATTTCCCCACCTTGGGTCAAAATTTGAGACTTTAGACAAATAGTATATTTCACAAAAAAGCAGGGACTCCTTCCCATATGTACACAGAGAACAAGCCATTTATTATTGTAGCTCTTTTTATGCTATAGAGACACTGCTGTTTTCACAAGGTAAGAAAAATATTTCGTTTGTGGACCTCCTTTTAACTTTTGCTCTATGGATTGGTGGATATATCCCAGCCCTCTTAAATGTGCCTCAGAAGACTAGCATTTAGCCCCATAGTGAAGAAAAATCAGGGATGTATTGCTTTATAACTTACACAGCACGACAGCACCGAAATGGGACACAGAAGAGACTGGCAGGATACAGCTATTCTAAAACATATGGCATTTAGCAGGCATCAGAAAGTATTAATTGATCTTTGTTGATTTCAGTTTTTTCATAACACTGAAGTATGGTTTTAGCCCATGATCTATGTTTGCTGCTTATATAAGTTCCTTCAATAATGGCTGTTAAACAATTATTTAGATGTGAATTCTCCAAAATACTTATAGAAGAGCCAAAGGGTAAAATAATCAAATTCTAGTTCCACCTCCCTAAGAAACCTTCCCCAGCAACTCTATAGGTTTTCATGGCTGGATATAATTTTATGGGTTAGCTTTTAAGTAGTTCATGACTACTGCGTTTCCCATCTGGATTACAAACTTCCCATTGACAATATGGCAAAAACAATGAGGAACAAGGCCTATGGAGTTGGTCAGATTTGGGTTCGAGCTCTGTCTGCACTTGCCAACTGTGTGTCTTGTGGAGAGTTACTTAATTTTTCTAAGCCTCTGCTTCCTCACTTATAAATCAGGGATACTAACACTAAGGATCTCATGAAATTACACTGAGAATTAAATGAGATAATATGCGGGTACAACAGATGGTCAGTTAATGTCAGTTTTCCTCCTTTTGTCTTTTAGCCACTAATGATGCCTTACAATTATTTTTTCCTTAATTTTCTTCAAGATCCATCACGGAACAAAGAATTCAATGAATATTCACTGTTAGATATAATCACACATATATTGATTGTTTACCTATTACCCAAGAGTGATTGAAAGCTTTGAACATTTACTGTCACTGAGTTAGAAGTTGAAGACTGATGTAGAAACCAAACTTCCTGGCCTCTCCCCTGTACCACCATCTGACTGACCTCGGAGGTTACATCTGCTGTCTCGCGGCAATGGATAGCTCACCTTGCCAGAGTGTATTACGCCCTGGAGAAGCACATAGTTGATCTCAAGGAGCAAAGGGTGTGTGTGGGTGTGTGTGTGTGTTTGTGTGTGTGGACTCGTGTGTCTAGATTCGTGTGACTGTGTCTAGACTGTGTGTGTTTAGACTCCATATCATCATTTGAAAAAGGTTGTCATGCTTTGACTCAAGATATTTCTCAAGTATCTCTTTACGGACTGTAAACAGAAAGCCCTTATCTAACTGATTGGAACAGGGAATGAACTTCAGTCCCAACACAGTTCACCCACAGACACATGCTCGGTATATGGCTCACTACTTAAACACAAAGACCCGAAGGGCCTCACCACCTTAGAGGGCAGGGGACAATAATGGGGGAAGGGATCTGAGTGCGCCCTTCTGTAACAGAAAGGCCCCAGCGTACACAGTATGCCATACTGCAAAGGGAGTCCGGCTTTGAGGAGGGGATCACTAACGCCAGAGGGCCGCGGGTAACTAGAGACCCAGACCCCCGTCGGCGTGTGGTCACCTACAACCCGCGGCATCCCGGCGCAGTCACCACGGCCAACACCAGTACAGGCTCCGGATTCTTGGACCGAGAAGGGGCCTGAATTCTCCACTTGGCCCAGTTCCTCACTTGGTGTAGCCAGCGGCGGCAAGGGAAGCCGGAGGCCCGTAGCCCTCCGTAGATCCCGGGGCCGCCGCGCTCCGGCATATGGGAGCACGCCCTGGGCGGCCCGGTGCAGCCGCCATCCCTCCGCCGAGACCCACATCCTCCCGCGGGCCAGATCCCCAGGCTCTGGCAGCTGCTCCGGCCGCGCCCCCCGAGCTTCCTCCGTGACGTGCGACCCGGCGCTCACCCCCCACGCGCTTGAGCCTGGGCGAGTATCAGCCTTCGCAGAAACGCGGGCGCCTAGCCATCCCCGCCGCTCGCCGCCTACCTGCCTCACCGCCACGCGGGCCAGCCGCGGGTCCGCACTCCACGCCGGGCGGATTCCGGCGCCAGCTCACTCTCTTTTTCCTTCCGTACACGTCCAGCACGATGACGTTACGTCAGTGGCGTAAGAGTAAACCTGAGCAGCTAGGCCTACGCTGTTGACGTAGGGCGAGGGCCTGGCCCGGAGTTGCGGCGCTGCAATGCCGTAGGCACCTTCCGAGAATCCGGCCCGTGCTCCACGTGGCGGGCCCGCCCATCAGGCCTCTGCAGGCGGGGCTCAAGTTCAAGGGGAACGTCCACGTCCCAGGAGGGGACTGGGGCCGAAGACAACTTCCAAACGCCGCCCCAGCTGGCCTTCCAGGGAGGTAGAAGAGGTGCCTGGCACCCTCAGCTGTTGGTAGATTTCAGAAGATGTGTTTGTCAGTGTTAACCATTTATGTCTGGGCACACCTCGGAAATAGGTTGGATCAACTTACATACATTACAGTTACTCCAGGCACATCCTGGAAATAGATTGGATCCATTTACACACATTTGCACACTTTGGCTCCTTAAATGGAAGCATTTTGGTACTGCAATCAAATTACTTGTCCCCTAGTCATCTGGAGGTTTCCCCAGTGGTCCCATCTCAAATCATCAAAGGCAGTTGTAAGGATATTGCTTTTTAAAATAGGATATTCAATCTCTGACAACTTGAACTATTCCAAAGGTGAATGCAGACTCACCTTTAAAGAGAGACCACAAACACCTGGAACAGTGGTGCGCACCTTTAGTCCCAGCTTCTTGCAGGTAGAGGCAGGAAAACCATCTGAGCCCAGGAGTTCAAATCCAGCCTGGACAACACAGCAAGACCCCATCTCTTAAAAAGAAAAAAAGTGAAAACACAGATTTTTCTCCCTCTTTCCTTGCTGTGTTTTGCTCAAAGGACACATACCTGCATAGGCACATAGTGCTGGGTGGTGGGAGGGCAGAACTTGATAGGAGATTGAGCACAGAAAGGCATCTTGCCCATCTATTGTCCCTGATAACATTGCTAAGCCTGCTTATTCATCTTCTTGTTCATTAAACACTGACTACTGCTGTAGTCTGAATATGTCCCCCAAAATTCATATATCAGAAACTTATATTTCCAATGCAAGAATATTGGGAGGTGGGGCCTAATGGGAGGCATTTGGATCAAGAGTGCTCCACCTTCATGAATAGAGTGACCCTCATGAATAGATTAATGCTGCTATCAAAAGGTTTGCGGAGTGGGTGTCCTCTTCTGCTCTTCTTCCCTTCTACCCTGTGAGCATACAGCAAGAAGGCCCTCACAAGATGCTGGCACCTTGATCTTGGATTCTAGAACTGTGATAGATAAATTTCTATTATTTAAATATTATCTAGTCTGTTATTGTGTTTTAGCATCACGAAATAGACTGAGACACCTAGTTAATGTGCCAAGCATTCCCTGGGTGTGGAAGGAGACATAGTTGAGTTCACAGTCCTATGGAAGAAAGAGATACATGAGCAAATAATTACAATACCATGGATAATGGAGACCTCAGTCTCTCAGTAAATAAAAAGAAAAAAACACACCATGCTTGCTTCAGCAGCACATATACTTAAACTAGAACAGTACAGAGAAGATTAGCATGGCCCCTGTGCAAGGATGACATGCAAATTCATGAATCGTTCCATATTTTTTTTGAGATACCACCTCACACCAGTTAGAATGGCAATCATTAAAAAACCTGGAGGCCAGGCACAGTGGCTCACACCTATAATCCCAGCACTTTGGGAGGCCGAGGCGGGTGGATCACGAGGCCAAAAGATTGAGACCATCCTGGTCAACATGGTGAAACCCCGTCTCTACTAAAAATACAAAAATTAGCTGGGCATGGTGGTGCATGCCTGTAATCCCAGCTACTCAGGAGGCTGAGGCAGGAGAATTGCCTGAACCCAGGAGGCGGAGGTTGTGGTGAGCCGAGATCGCGCCATTGCACTCCAGCCTGGGTAGGTAACAAGAGTGAAACTCCGTCTCAAAAAAAGAAAAAAACAATCTGGAGACAACAGATTCTGGAGAGGATGTGGAGAAATAGGAACACTCTTCACAGTTGGTGGGAGTGTAAATTAGTACAACCATTGTGGAATACAGTGTGGCGATTTCTCAAGGATCTAGAAATAGAAATTCTATTTGACCCAGCAATCCCATTACTGGGTATATACCCAAAGAACTATAAATCATTCTACTGTAAAGACACATGCACACGTATGTTCCTTGCAGCCCTGTGTACAATAGCAAAGACCTGGAACCAACCCAAATGCCCATCAATAATAGACTGGACAAAGAAAATGTGGTGCATATACACCGTGGAATACTATGCAGCCATAAAAAACAATGAGTTTGTGTCCTTTGTAGGGACTTGGGATGAATTTGGAAACCATCATTCTCAGCAAACTGACACAAGAACAGAAAGCCAAACACTGTATGTTCTCACTCATAAGTGGGTGTTGAACAACAAGAACACATGGACTCAGGGAGAGGAGCATCACACACTGGGGCAGTTGGGGGGGTAGGGGAGAGAGAGTGGGGGGTGGGGAGGGATAACATGGGGAGAAATGCCAGATATAGTATGCACCTAAAGTAAAATAAGCAAATTTTAAAAAAGAGAGGAAAAAAAATACCATGTGATAAATACTAGAGAATGGGATGCCCAGACATTGAGATGGCAGATATGGTTTGGCTTTGTGTGCCCAGCCAAATCTCACCTTGAATTGTAATCCCCCTTATCCCCACCTGTGGAGGGTGGGACCTGGTGGGAGGTGACTGGATCATGGGGGTGATTTCCCCCATGCTGTTCTTGTGATATGAGTTCTCATGAGATCTGATGGTTTTATAATGGATTCTTCCCCCTTCACTGGATTGCTCTCTTGTGCCTGCCACCATGTAAGACATGTCTCTTCCCCTTCCGCTATGATTGTAAGTTTCCTGAGACCTCCCCAGCCATATGGAACTGTAAGTCAACTAAACCTCTTTTCTTTATAGATTACCCAGTCTTGCGTATGTCTTTATAACAGTGTGAAAAAGGACTAATACAATGACATTAAAAAGAGTTGATATTCAAATTGTGCTTTGAAGCACTAGAAGTAAGGGGTGTACCTAAAAGAGGAGTACAGGATCATATGAGGAAGAGGGAATAAGGGAATGAAATATGCAGAGGTGTGAGGCACCCTGTGAAAAGAGGCTACTTGCAGTAAGACATAACAGGAGAGGGGTCTGGCTGGGATCCTATCTTTCAAAGGGATTTTTGTGCTATGCTAAAGATTTTGAATTTCATAATCCTCATAAACAGAGGGCCATGACTTTTAAAGTGCTGGAATGGTCTGATCAAATTTTGTGCCAGAAGTCAGTAAAGAGGCCTAGAGCTGGAATGTTGGTCAGCCCGAGTAAGAAATGGTGCCCCAAAAAAGGCTCCAGCAGAGGAATGAGGAACAAAAAGGAGAGAACTAACACTTATTCAGAGTAGGAGGGTGAGAGAAGAAGGGCAGTGCTTGCGAATCTGATGGTGCTGCAATACCAGGAATCAAGAAATCGATGAGGGAACAGTTCTTCTGGGTGAGGAATGAGAATATGGAATGTGTTAAATTTGGAGTATTTTGGATTTGCAGTAGGGTAGAAAAAACAAACTTTTCTTTGCCCATCTGTTTCCTTTTCTCTACTTTTCTTTTAAGATACAGTCTCCATTAATGAACATTTGGTGGAAAATGGCTTCCCCAGCTCTAAAAAATCTTTCCAGTTAGTACCCACTTATGACTGATTTCAAGTCTTGGTCTAAATTCCAAGCTCCTGGGAGAGAAAATTGTACTGGCCTAGACTGGTTCAGGACTCCATCCTTGGTCCAGTCACACATGTCATGGAAACATGGAGGCTGTTCCCTCCCCTTCTTAAGCAAAGCTCTGAGCAGCTGGAATTCTCAGAGAAATGGTAGACATATTCAGGAGTTGGTCATGATGGGACACTTAAATGAAACCAGTTTCAGCCACACTATGCAGCATCACTAGTTTCACAAACCAAGCTGTACATCTGGAAAACTTTACAAAATGCAGATCTTGGAGTCCCCACTTCCCAGACCTGCCTCTTCCACCAGTGGTTCAGAATCTCTAGGGGTAAGGCCCAGGAATCAGTATTTTTACAAAACACCCTAGAAGATTACTTTGTGACTAACCTTTGGGAACCACTACTTTAAAAGACCTGGAATACTGAACAAATAAAATGATAAAAATAGGAAGCTACTCATAAATATGGAGTATTACATACAATAAACAAGAAGTTGAGTTTTTGTTTTGTTTTGAGAAGGGTCTCACTCTGTTGCCCAGGCTGGAGTGCAGTGGCATGATCATGGCTCACTGCAGCCTAAACCTCCTGGGCTCAAGTGATCCTCCTGCTTCTGCCTCACAAATAGCTGGGAATACAAACGTTCTGGTGATGGTTGTGTTACTCTGTGAGTATATTTAAAACCACTGATTTGTACATTTTAAGAGGACGAATTCTATGGTATGTGAATATAATTTGCTTAAAGGCACAGAATGGTCTCATAGCACTTGGGCATAGGGCTAAAGATCTGAATCAGGGAGTAAGAGGGACCAGATTCTGAAAGGGGCAGGTTGTCTGTTACCAGTGGATTGGATGTCTGTTACTCCATCAATAAGAATAAGTTGTCACATAAGATTATGTCCCTTTAAGGAGCCCAAACCTGGAGAACTTAAATACTCTATTAGCTTTCTGGTCAGTTTTCTGCAGGTCTCCTCGGAGGCAGAATTACTGAATTAAATGTCTAGGAAATGGACTTTGGTGGGAATCTGTGCTATCAGGTTCCCAGCGACCAGCCTCCCCTTGTGCACAATCTCCCTTGTACAGAAGCACTTCCTCTAGTTTAATAACAACTGCTAAAAAATTTTGCCATTTTCTTTCAGGGAAGCTGGCTACTTTCCAGGTACTTTGGAAAAGGGCAAAATGATAAACCAGAGATGGTATTTACAAATGAGCATTTTCTTCTCATGAAGCAGGATTATAAATAAGCATATGATTTATTAAAAGGCATTTTAATTTCAGAGCATTAATATGCTGTGAAGAAAACCAAACTATCTTTGAATTCTGTCTGGCTTTCAAGTCCCCATAAAAGGAGCTGCCATCCTGCTTATCTTGGCTGTTTGGCACATTCAATTCTACTAGTCATTTCAGCCCCCAAACCCTCCTGTCCATGAAACACCCTGGGCCTTCATGAGGAAGAGAAAATAAGGAAATGAAATGTGCAGAGGTGTTCTAGGCTCCTGGGATCACCTTCCCTCACCCACTCTCCCAATCCCCTCATCCTGCCACGTTAGTTCCAAACTCACCGTCTCCTCCAAACTTGCCCCTCTCTAGTCTAGGCCACATTGATATTTGCTTTTCTGGACAAATGTAGTCTGTGTCACATGTCGATCTTCCCCCACTAAATTGTTAGGTCACTGAGGAGGTGCACCTTACAATTCCACATTTCTGAGTTTCACTAAAGTTGTTCCAGTACATTCTGTTCTTTAGATTCAATTCTTTGTAAAATGGATTTAAAGTTTAAAACAAGTAGATTTTATATCTTCCACCAAAAATCTGCCTTAATTACAAGGCTAGCATAAGTCTGCTCTAGACCTAAAACTTTTAATGTTTTCTATCACAGTTCCCAACCAATTCCTATCCACCCAAGAATGATAATAGGAAATTACTTTGTTTTCTCTGCAAGCCAGAATCTCTGAATTGGCAGGGCAGGCAGAGCCCTTTGTAAGCTGCCACTGCCTTATGCTAACAAAACAGATTTTTGGCTCTTTCCCATCTTGCAAGATGGCAGGTGAAAAAGTTGAGAAGCCAGATACTAAAAAGAAGAAACCTGAAGCCAAGAAGGCTGATGCTAGCGGCAAAGTGAAAAGGGGTACAAGGCTAAAAACCCCAAGAAGGGGAAGCCCCATTGCAACCGTAATCCTGTCCTTGTCGGAGGAACTGGCAGGTGTTCCCAATCTGCCACATATACCAGGTACAAGAGGAAGTACTCAGCTGCTAAATCCAAGGTTGAAAGAAAAAGGAGGAGAAGGTTCTTGCAACTGTTACAAAACCAGTTGGTGGTGACAAGAACGGCGGTACCCAGGTGGTTAAACTTTGCAAAATGCCTAGGTATTATCCTAATGAAGATGTGCCTCAAAAGCTGTTGAGCCATGGCAAAATGTGAGTCAGCATGTGAGAAAACTGTGAGCCAGCATTACTCCCAGAACCATTCTGATCATCCTCACTGGATGCCACAAGGGCAAGAGGGTGGTTTTCCTGAAGTAGCTGGCTAGTAGTGGCTTGTTACTTGTGACTGGACTTCTTGTCCTAAATTGAGTTCCTCTACGAAGGACACACCAGAAATTTGTCATTGCCACCTCAACCAAAATCGACAGCAGTGTAAAAATCCTGAAACATCTTACTGATGCTTACTTCAAGAAGCAGCTAGGGAAGCCCAGACACCAGGAAGGTGAGATCTTCGACACAGAAAAGAAGAAATTATGAGATTACAGACAAGCAGAAAATTGATAAACTGCGGACTCACAAATTTTACCAAAAATGAAAGCTACTCCTTAGCTCCAGGGCTACCTGTGATCGGTGTTCGTCCTAACGAGCGGAATTTAGCCTCACA